GCTATGCTTGGCCCGTGCTCCAGGGTCCTTCCTGGTTGTGCTTAGAGAGCCCATATGTGGTGCCTAGAAATGAACCAGGGTCAATGGCATGCAAGGCAAGTGCCTCCCTCTGTCTTGTCTCCATCCCACTTTTAAAAAACTTATTTATTTTTACAAAGCTGTTTATGATTGGATTTCAGTCATACAGTATTCCAACACCCATCTCTCCACCAGTGTATATTTCCCAGCACCAGTGTCCCCAGGTTCCCTCCCATCACCCCCACCCCCTGCCACCTCCAGCCCACTTTTATTTTACTATTGTTTATTATTATTATTATTATTATTATTATTTTGCCTTTTGGGTCACAGTGGGTGATGCACAGGGGTTACTCCTCACTTCTGCACTCAGGATTTACTCCTGGCAGTGCTCAGGGGACCATATGGATGCTAGGAATCAAACCCCGATCAGCCACATGCAAGGCAAATGCCCTACCTGCTGTGTTATCTCTCCAGCCCTCCAGCCCACTTTTAGAACTCGCTTTTCTCGTCTATGAAATGGAATCTTCCCTAAGTCATAGGTGAAGGGTATATCTGGTACTCTCCTGTGCGCCCTTAGACAAGAGAGCTCAGCAACTGTAAAGCCAATTTAAAATAGCAGGAAAGCTTAAGGAAAGGAGCATGGGGTGAGACAATGACAATTAGACCTCTTCCAGGCAATTTAATGTTGTGAGTGGGAGCCAGGCAGCTGGGATTCCATCCCAGTGTGACGAGGCTAGTCTTTCTGACCTTCAGGAGTCACTAATTGAGTCTGTGCAGTAGTTCACACGTGTGTCTGCTAGAATTGTCCCTGCATGCACAGTGAGCCCCACATTCCCACAGTCCCCAGACACAGAATGCTCTCACCCCACCCCTGCCTGGTTGGGAGTCCAGGCTTTCTGGACTAATGGAGCCCCGAGGAAGCAGCTTCTCCCCCGGCCCCCACTAGGGTACAACTCCTGGAGAAGATTCTGTGGCCTCTCACAGCCTCAGACACTGGAGGAGCTGGGCGCTGTGCTGAAGAACAAGATACTGGCCAAGAAACTCCTGGATCTCTACGGGACTCCAGACAACATTGACATCTGGGTAGGGGGCATCGCTGAGCCCCTGGTCGAAGGGGGCCGGGTGGGGCCTCTCCTGGCCTGTCTCCTGGGGAAGCAGTTCCAGAAGATCCGGGATGGAGACAGGCAAGTACAACCTTGGTGGGGAGGGGAGGGGGGAGGGCACAGCTGAACAAGGGAGGGTGGGGGAGGCATAGGAGGGCAGGGGAGGAGATGAGAGGACAGGGAGGGTAAGGGAGGGGAGGGCAGGGGTAGAAAAGGGAATAGAGAGGAGGGAGAGAAGGGGAGGGCAGGAGAAAAGAGGGGAGGGGAGGACAGGAGAAGGGAGTGGAAGGAAAGGCAGGGGAGGGCAGGGGATGAGAGGGGAGGGCAGGGCAGGGATGGGAAGGAGAGGAGGAGGCAGGGGTGGAGAACAGAGGGCAGAACAGGGCAGGGAGGGGCTGGGCAGGACAGGAGGGCGACCCTTCTCCACTGTGGGTGTGGCCTGCACTGGCAAGGATGAACCCCGACCTCAGAATGCTCCCCATGGCTACTGGCCAGGGCTGAGCATGCAGACATGTGGCGTCTGAGCCCAGCCCCACCCGCAGGTTCTGGTGGGAGAGCCCTGGGGTCTTCACTAGGAGGCAGCGCGACGCTCTCCGGAAAGTGTCCTTCTCACGCCTCGTCTGTGACAACACCCACATCACCAAGGTCCCCCTGAACCCGTTCCAGGCCAATAGCTACCCACAAGGCTTTGTGGATTGCTCCGCCATTGATCAGCTGGACCTCTCGCCCTGGGCCTCGGTGGGAAACTAGGGGCCCCGCCACCCCGCCTGGTGCAGCCATGATCCCTTTGGTCCACGATGCCATTTCAAACGAGCCCACTGATGATGGGTCCCTTAGTGCTCCCCACCAGTCCCCAGTCTTCTTGTTCTTGGGGTCTGTTCTTGGGGAGTGTCCAACACTCGCCCATGCATGTCCTTGCTAGGAGTGCTAAATCGCATTGACTCGGGCCCCAGGAGCCCATCCCTTGCTTGCCAGGTGTCACACTTCCCACCTGGACTGGTATTGGCTGCCTTGGTGCTTGCATTTCCCCAGCCTGACCCACTAGACTGTAAGCTCCAGGAGCCAAGGCCACAGCCGCGCCCGGGGTCTGTCTGCCGGGCCACAGCTTGTGTGCACACAGTAAGCACTCAATAAACAACTGATGACTGACTAATGGTTTGGTGGGATTTCAGAGAGGGCACAGAAAGGAGGAGGCGGGCTGGGCGGTGGTTCTAGAGGCAAGGCATGCATCTGGCATGTGTCGGGCCCTGGGTTCCACCCTTAGCACCTTGAACCCCACCCCCCCCACACACACCACCGTCAGGTATGGTCCCAGCACCTCTGCCAACTCGATAATGCAAAAATAAGGAGGTAGGAAGGGGAGGGAGGGATGGAAACAAAGAAAAGAGAAGGGAAGGGAGGAGCGGGAAGGGGAGGAGTCGTGCGGCTACTAGGAAAAGAAGCAAAGGTGGGGGCAAGAGAGATGCCTTGGGGGGGGACGGAGCACAGAGGGTAGGGCATTTGCCTTGCACTCGGCTGACCTGGGTTTGATCCCTGGCATCCCATATGGTCCCCCAGCACCACCAGGAGTAAGTTCTGAGAGCAGAGCAGAGCCAGGAATAACCCTAAACATTGCCGGGTATGATACAAAAAGACAGAGGGTGGGGGGCAGCTTGGGTGGTGCCAAGGAATGAAACAGGGAGAAAATCCAAACCTGAAGAATCCCTGAAGGTTAATTGAGCCCTTTGGGTCTCTGCTTCAAGGGTAGTCCCTGGAGCCTGGGAGGCCTCTGAAGGGGTCAGTTCTGGAATGTTCTGGAGTCGCTGTGCAATATATATTTAGGTATTCTTTAGACACCAGCAGCCCCCAATATGGTCCGCGTGGCAGAGCCTCAGGCTCCCCTGACTTGGGGCCTGAGGCCGGGAAGGGCCCAGAGACCAGGACCCACTCCAGCACTCACTTCCTTTCATTTTAGCTTTTCCCCTTTGAGTAGAGGGCCACACCCAGCAGTGCTCAGGGCTTACTCATGGCTCTGTGCTCAGGGATCCCTCCTGGTAGGCTCGAGGTGCCAGACAGGGTGTTAGGGATGGAACCAAGTCAGCCACATGCAGTAAGTACCCTACCCACTGTACTGTCACTTCGACCCCTCCAGCACCCACTTCATCAAGTCCCTTGATGAGCCCTTTTGGTCCAGAGGTTCCTGGGGAGACAGGATCGATGGCATTTCTATTGACAGTGAGCACTGGGCATCGGAGCTCTGAGGGGTACATGAACCCAGCACTAGCACACTGCAGGCTCCCCACGACCTCTGTGCCCTCACACTGTGGAAAAGTGGGCAGACAGCAAGACTAGTCAGTGAGAGGCCCTCGGCTAGGTTCCTAGGTCTGTCCCCTCGCACAATACAGCCACCTGTTCTCCCTGCTCTGGGGACCAGCTGCAGGCCTCGTCTGTCTCCTCTGTGCCAGGGGACCCTTTCATTTAGGATGGGCCTTCCTGGTACATCTCTGGCACATCTCCCACAGGACAGGGTTGGGTCATTGGACTTCCAGTGCTCAACACGGAGTGGGCTTGAAGCAATGATCTGCCAGAACAGTAAGTGGATGAAAGGCCTGGGGATCACACTCCCTGCCTCCTGGGGTGGGCGATGGATGAGGAGCGTCTATTCAGTGTGGCCTGGCTTCTAAGAATGGTCAACTGCCATGGGTGGATGGTGGTTCCTCGCTACCCTCATCCCTGGCTCAGAAAACAGAGGGCCGGAGACACTACCCAAGTTCAAGATCCAGAGCAAGCTCCACTGAAGACACAGACAGCGAAGACCCCCACAGTAGAGGAGAGTGTGGTACAGCAACACCGCATGCTTAAATCACAAATAATTGTGATTTTTGGTTGTTTTGTTCTGGACCATGCTTAGGCTAATCCCAGTGGTGTTTAGGGGACCATATGGTGCCTGAGAAAGAACCTGGGCCTCCCCCACGTGAAGCACACACTCAGCCCACTGAGTTACCTCTGTACCCCCTGAAACATAGTTATTAATGGCAATATAGATCATGTTATGTCAATTAAAGGGAAAACAAAAAAGATCCCCAGCAGCTGTGCTTTATTATCATAAACATCCGTTGCAAAGGGTTCCAGAGGACCCGCAGACTCCAACTCCTCGCCAGGCAGGCTCCTGTGAATCAGTAAGAGAACAGGATAAGAAAAGGGCAGCCACGGCCTGAGCCCGGCCCACCCGGGCCCATGATGTCACCACGAGCACAGCACGATGATGCTAACAGCCACTTCCCGGGGCAGCATACTGAGGCCTGTAGACCGGATGCTGTTTGGGTGTCAGATCTGCAAGCAGGACTGGGTCTGTGTTTCCTGCTCGTGGCCTGGTGCAGGGCAGGCCACAATGCTCCATAAGAAAGATGCACAGTGGATCCAAAGGGGCCTCAAAAGAGCCAGGATGGCTGTTTTTGGGTTTTCTTCTTTTTTTTTTCTTTTTGGGTCATACCCGGTGATGCACGGGGGTTACTCCTGGTGGTGCTCAGTGCCCATATGGGATGCTGGGAATCGAACCTGGGTCGGCCGCGTGCAAGGCAAATGCCCTACCCACTGTGCTATCTCTCCAGCCCCTGTTTTATTTTTAACGAGGAAGAAAACGAAAACTGCTCAAGGTTGAGCCATTCATTCCAGGGGACACAGCGAGCGCTGGGCAGAATCTAGTCTTCAGCCTGGAGATCCAGCTCCTGAGCTTGCTCTGCTGCCGTGTGCAATCTTAGCACTCCCGTAGATGGCACACACGCATAGCACACAAACCACACCCAGTGTATACACGCATCATCCTCCCCCACCCCCCGCCCTGTGCACACACAGGTAAGTGCGGCCGCGTGGCTGCACCCCGGTACGGATGGGCTTGTCTGGCGCAGAGCAAGCTGCGGGTCCCCCTACCCAGCCTTAGGCCTGGCTCCTCCAGGGTGTCAGGTCGAATGCAGGAAGTTGGCTGCAGTTGACAAAGTCCCGAGGGAAGGTGTTGGACATGAAGATGTTGTTCTTAGACACGGTGGTGATGCCTGTGTTGTCACAGATGATGCGGGGCAGGGAGATCTTGGCCAGGGCCTGCTGCTGCTGTTGGCTGAACACTCCTGGGTTCTGCCACCAGAACCTGGGGCAACATGGAGCGACACCTGGGCATTAGTGCTGGGCAGGCACCAGACTGCGTCACACCCCTCCAGAGGCCCCTCCCCAACCTGGGACCACGCCAGGCCTCTGGGTATCCTGGGGATCTCCAAAGTGGCTCCCTGCTAGCAGTACAGAGTAAAGCACAGAGACGCCCCCCCCCCCCCCCAGGGAGACTAAAGTGAGAGGGGCCCAGCCATGCCACGCCCTGTGCCCGGCCCAGGCTGCAGCCACCAGGTGGAAAGACACCCCATGTGGCTTCTAAGTGTCTCCCTGAGAAAACACCCTTTTCTACTGTTCCTGTCCAGGTGGGGTGAGTCCTGGGTCTGATAAACGTCAGTACACAGGAAACTAAAAAGGGGACACTGGGACACTAGGATGGGATGGCCCAAAGGTGGTGGACAGCTTAAGTGGCTGCACCCCAAAACCCAGGAGGAGTTAAGCATTTCTCTGTCTTCCTTCTTCCTCAAATCAGGGTTCCACATCCCTCCTTGCTGAGCTCACTGGGGATCTGCCTGAGGGTCCCAGGGATACCAAGAGGCCAGAGTCCCCTTTCCAGTCTTGACTTCCCTGGAGGGAGTTGGGGCTCCAGGGAGAGGCCTCCGGCACCTCAGTCTGGGCCCCTCGGTTGCTGCCTCCTCACCGATCTCCATCTCGAAGGTTTCGGAACTGGGTCCCGATGAGGCAAGCCAGGAGGGGGCCCACGCGGCCGTTTCTCTCCAGGGGTTCGGCCACGCCGCCCATCCAGATGTCGATGTTGTTGGGGGTGCCGTACTGCGCTATCAGCTTCCTCGCGAGGTCAAAATTCCTCAGCACCGTAGCCAGCTCGCCCACTGTCTCAGGCTCAGTCAGCCCGCAGAAGCGCCTCCAGGCCCTGTAGCCTGCATGAGAGCATGAGGGAACAGTGGTTGGGGCTGGGCCCCAGAAAACCCACCTCGACAGCACACCAAGGCTTATACTGAGGTGCTGAGGGGAGGGCTGGAAACTCTAGGGGACCCCCGAGCCCTTGGCTCAGGCTGGAGGCATGGCTGGTCTCTCTCTCTTTCTGGCACCAGCTGGCTGGCCCTTGTCCTCACAGCTTCAGGCCAGTCTGAAATTGTCATAACTCCTGCCAAGTCTAAAAGTAGGAACATCTTTTGTTTTGTTTTGTTTGGGGACCACACCCAGCGCTGCTCAGGGGTTACTCCTGGCTCTGCACTCAGGAATCATCCTGGAGAACTCAGGGACCATACGGGATGCTGGGAATTAAGTCTGGGCTGGCCACATGCAGGGGAAGCAAGTGTCCTACCTGCAATCCTATCACGCTGGCCCCTGAGAATAGGGCCATCTTATTGTCCCCCTCTGGAGATCTCAGAGTTGGGAGGGCTGAAGTATGTTAGGAAGCTCAGCCGTCCTCCCTTCCTAACTGTCACAGGACACAGACACAGGGGTTGAGCCCACCCAGGGCTTCTGAATCTCCTCAAACCTCCATTTCCTCCTGGGTACCAAAGAAGTGCTGATATTGGGGCCAGAGAGATAGTACAGCTGGGAGGGTATTTGCCTTGCATGTGACTGACCTGGGTTCAATTCCAGGCACCCCATATGATTCCCTAAGCACCACCAGGAGTCATTCCTGAGTGCAGAACCAGGAGTAACCTTGAGCATCGCCGGGCATGACCCGAAAAGACAAAAAAAAAAAGTTGCTAATACTATCTTCCCCTCGGAGCTAATGGAAAATGAAGCAAGAGGAAATAACAGCAAAAACAGATTTTTAGTGGTGGCTCCAGGCCTTGTTTTCTGATGGGGCCAGATGCACAAATAAGGCCCAGAGGAGCTGAAAATGAACTAGGTGGGGCCTGGACTCAGAGTTAGGTGTTCAGTGGGGCTGGAGGAGGGAGGGAACTTTGGATAGCTGGGACCTGAGTGTGGGGGGCTCTGCACGCCCTCACCTGGGAGGCCATGGTCCCGGCTGCGCTGCATGTTCAAGGCAGGCAGGTCCAGCCCGATCCTCATGACCTGCAGGAACAATCGCTCCCGGATCTCATCCACCACAATTTGGTTCTGGCGATTCAGCTTGGCAGGGGTGGCCATAAGGCCCCGAAGGATGGGGTCGATGCCACCTGGGAGAAAAGGCAAGTGAGCGTAAGGGGTATCTGGTTCCTTCCAGGAGCTGATCCTGGAGTGAGGGATAAGGGGAGGTGGGGTCTGGGGGACTTCCAAAGAGGGCTGGTCACATGCCCAAGCTGGTCACAAGGAGCGCTCAATGGGTGGGTTTCCATCCAGCGTGGAGATCTCAGGAGATTACACCTTTCAGGCCTGTAGGATTGGGGGTGCTCCTAATCGCTGGCCTCCTGGGCCACTGGGCCACAGAAAGGGGACAACTCCTTGGAAGCTGTCTGCATCTCAGCCATCAGAGTTAGATGCAGAAGCAGTTGGCTCACATCTCCAATGATGGAAGACCGGATCTCTCCCTCCAAGTCTCTCAGCAGCCAGGCCCACCGCCTGGCCCCTCAGCTGCCCACCTCCAAACTGCCCAGGCCTCGCCTCTCACCTTCCAGCACCACCCTCCAGGAGGCGAAAAAGACTTGACTGAGCGGGACTCGGGGGTTGAGCGCCACGGGTTGGTAGCGACTGTCCAGGCGGAACATGAAAGGTTGGATGAGGGTGTGGCCATAACGGAAGGCGTTGGTGAAGACATTGGCGATACGAGGGTCCACAGAGTCATTGTAGCCGCGGTACCTGGGCAGGTACTTCCTCATGGCCCTGGGCCCAAGCACCAGAGGCAGGTAGTCCCGGTAAGTGATGATCTAAAGGAAACCCACGCAGAGTGACCTCTCTGCTTGATGCCATTGTGCCCCCCCCCCCGCCCCGCCAGCCCACAGCGGCCACCAACTGCTCCCTCCCATCTATGACCACGGAACTGTGTCCTGCAGCACTGGATCTGGGCTGAGAGAGATGCAAAAAGTGGCATAAATAGAGCTCTACTACTTGCTGGTCAGCGATTAGCCTCTCTGAGTCCCAGATCCTCACTGTAAATCAGGCTAATTTTAGCACCTCTGCCCTAGAAGATCAAATAAAAAATACTTTGTTCATCATTGCAACAGCACCCTTGCTCTTGTGTTATTAATGTCTCATTTCTCCCAGTAGCTTGTAAACTCCTGGAGGGTGAGGGTAGTATCTCATTTTCGTTGAAATTATTCAGTGCCCAGCAAATTCCTGTTCACAGTGCAGATGAATGTATGTCTGGAGAAGAATGGGGGAGTGCAGAAAGGTACAGGGGCCACGCTGGATGATTTCCCTAGTGAGGAGAGAGGGCAGGATGCGGTCCCACTCTAGGTGAGATGTTCTGGAATTTCCTTTAAGATTTCAATGGCTCTTACTTATTTTTTTAGTATAAATGAAAAACTCATTCTTAGGGAATGCTTTCAAATACATGCTCAGGGGCCAGCATTATCCTGACACCAAAAGCAGACAAGGACACCGCAAAGAAAGAAAACTACACAACAAAATCCTTGATGAACAACAATGCAAAAGTCTCAAGAGTCTAGCAAAATGGGATAATACATTAGGCGGATCCTATATGACAACCAGGTGTGATTTATTCCAGAGAGGCAAGCTTGGTTCAGCAACATGGGCAAATGAATAAACATATATACCACCATAACAAAGGAAAGATTAAATTCATGTTATTCTATCAAATAGATAAAGAGAAAGTATTTCACAAGATTTGGCAAACATTTATAATCAAAATACTCCACAAAACGGGGATAGAAGGAACAGATTTCAACAAAGGTAATAAGACAAACCCATACTTCACACCATACTCAATGATGAAAAATGGGAAGTTTTCCTGTAAAAGCAGGAAGAAGATAAAGATGCCCATTCTTACTACAATTATTCAATGTGGTATTGAAAATATAAAACAGACTAGTAAGGCAAAAAAAAAAAAATCAGTAAAAGACAGGGCCGGTGAGATAGTGTAGTGGGTAGGGCACTTTCCTTGCAAGTAGCTGACCTGTGTTCAATCCCCAACACCCCATATGGTCCCCTGAGCACTACCAGAAGTGATCCCTGAGCACAAAGCCAGAAGTGCTCAGGCTCTGAGAACCACCAACTGTAACACACACACACACACACACACACACACACACACACACACACATACACACACACAAAATGGGGGATAGGGTGGAAATGGGGGAAAGGGTGGGGTGCTGAATATCAAAGTTGGGAGGGAAAAGCTGGAACTCTGCCAGGCATGAACCATGGTAGAGCCGTGTGGGAGGAGCCTGCAGTGACCAGGAGGGAGCAATGAACTGTTTACAGAACAGCTGCTCGCCAGCCTGCATTGTCACCTTCCTACGCCAGCCACTCTCAAAGGACAGGGGACAGAGAAGAGAGAGAGGAGGGCACCTGGGACGAGTGAACGGAGATAAGCAACTAGAGAAACTGAGGCTCCCGTGAACTAATTTTTCCAGACTCCTCGTGCAGTTAGCAAGGCTGCCTGGCCCTCGGCCTCCCATTGCCTAGGCTACCGACCTGGACCATGGCACCCACAATCTTCCGGGCCTCCTGGTAGAGCGTCTCTCCATCCCAGCGCGGGTTGAGCCGCTTGAGCTCTGTGGCCAGCCGGTTGTGTTCCCGCACGAAGAGCGTGTGCATGGACGTGAGCTCCGGCATCTCACTGGAGCGGGTGTCCCCTGGAGGAAGGAAGAGCTGCATCACGCGAAACGCCATCTCTGGCCCAAGCCAGGCATGCTCCCCCATCCCCTCCCCCGCCAACCCCAGCTGATCTCACTACCTGTCATACACAATGCGAATCCCCTTATAGAAGCTCCCCATGTGCTCCAGCCCACCGCACTGGCTTCTTCCTCTCTTAAGAGGCGCTGTGGGCTGGAGGTGCTCATTCAAACAGGCCTCTGAACTGACACAGAGCTTTTGACAGTCCTGTATCTAAGATCAGACTCCTTGCTGAGACGAACCATGGATATGTGTGTCTATTCTGTTTTGTTTTGTTTCTTGGCCAGCGATGCTCCACAGCTACTCCCAGCTCAGTGCTCAGGGGTCCCTCCTGGGGGATTATGCAGTGCCAAGGATCAAACACAAAATATGTGCTGGAGTCTGTTGAGTGCTCTTTCTCTCTCTCCCTCCCTCTCTTCCTTTCTCTCTTCCTCCCTCTTTCTCCCCCCACCTCCCTCACTCTCTCTTCCTCTCTCCTTCTTTCTCTCCATCCCTCTCTCCCTCTCTTTCTCCCTCTCCCTCTCCTTCCCTCTCTCCCTCTGTCTCTCTTCTTATCTCTCTCTCTCTCTCTCTCTCTCTCTCCTTCTTCCTCTCCCCCTCGCCAGCCCTGTCCAACAGAAGTCTCTGGACTGATGCATCAGCATCTATGCTGCCTTGTGTGAAGTCGCTACACGGGGAGGCTACTGAGCACTGGGGTTGCGGCAGATGCAATAGGGGAGCCTGAGTCTACATTTAAGTTCATTAAACTGAATGGAAACAGCCACGTGTCCTTAGCGGTGACCATGTTAGATAGTGTGGTCATGCTCCAGTCCCTCTAGTCCTTGTCCCTGGATGACTCAAGCCCCTTCTCTAACCAAGTCCAGAGAGAAATAGACAATAGGACAGGCCGATGGGCAGAAACTCCGTGGACATCCCTGTGTCTCCTTCTCTAGGTTGCCTGTGTTTGAGGGTTGGGTTTTTTTGTTTGGTTGGTTTTGGGGCCACACCTGACAGTGCTCAGAGCTTACGCCTGGCTCTGTGCTCAGGGATCACTCCTGGTGGTGCTCAGGGAACCATCTGGGGTGCCAGGAATGGAAAGCGCCCTACCCCACTGTACTACTGCTCCAGCCCTGAGGGTTGTTTTTCATTTTTTGTTTGTTTGTTGTTTTTCCTTTCTGGCCTCATCCAGCTTGTCACCAAGGCAACTAGATTAATACCACAAAGCTGGTGAGAACAGAAGCTCTAAATAGAATCTTGCTGCAGTACACAAGTCGGCTGCAGCGGGACCCCACCCCCCCACCCCGCGGCCCTCAGGTCCCCGGTGGCTCTCACCCGCCAAGAAGCAGGGGATGCGCACAGAGCGGTTGGTGAGCAGACAGGGGTCGTCATGCAGGGTGTCAAAGGGCATCAGTGCGCGGCCATTGTCCTGGAAGGCCGAGTTGACCTCCAGCAGCCCCAGATCGTTGGTGAGGTTGCGCAGCCGCGTGGCCACGTGGTCCTCACTGCCATACACCATGCTGGCGTCCAGGAAGGAGGTGAGCGCGTTGATCTGGTTACGGATGGTGATGTTGCCCCCTGTGCAGGCCGGGCAGGACCGGAAGAAGGGGATGCAGTCCTGCTGGTTGCTGATGCGGGGGTCATTGGGCGGGATCTGCGGCAGAGAATGGGACAGTGGCTGGTGAGGGCAGGGCCAGCGGCAGGATGGCTCCCTTGGTCCCTCCCCAGGGCTTTCCCCTTAGAAGCAGTATGGGGCCTTGAGAGAGAAGAGGAAACACTGACTCCAAAATGGGCTTCCCAACTTTGGGGGGCAGGGAATGTGGTCTGATTGTTTGTTTTTACTTTTTTTGGGTCACACCTGGAAATGCTCAGCGATTACTCCTGGCTCTGCACTCAGGAATTACTCCTAGAAGTTCTCGGGAGACCATATGGGATGCCAAGGATTGAACCCAGGTTGGATGTGTGCAAGGTAAATGCCCTATCTACTGTGCTATCACTCTGGCCCCGGTTCCCAACTTTGGAACTGTTTATCTCACTATGACTTAATTAAAATATATATAAATAAATAAAATATTAGGTGTGAATAAAAGGTAAAAGGAAAAGGCCCTCCCGTTGTTCATCGATTTGCTCGAGCGGGCCCAGTAACGTCTCCATTGGAGATTTTGTTGTTACTGTGTTTGGCATATCGAATACATCATGGGGGGCTTGCCAGGCTCTGCCGTGTGGGCGAGATACTCTCGGTAGCTTGTCGGGCTCTCTGAGAGGGGCGGAGGAATCGAACTCGGGTCGGCCATGTTGGCTGCGTGCAAGGCAAACGCCCTACCGCTGTGCTATTGCTGTGAATATGTTCAAAAATTTAAGAGTTGAAATAAAAAAAAAAAAGATTCCCCATGATGTCTGACCCTCAGGTCAGCCTTCAAGGAGGTCTCTCAAAGTCCACAAGGGACCCTGGTCAGAGGCCCAGCCAGCATAGCACCTCTCAGCAGCAGGGGTGACCATTAGAAGGCAGACCTGGGCAAAGCAACCCAGGGGTGGAGCTCAAAAAATCCCGGAAGTCCCCAGAGCCCCCTTTCTCCCCTCCACATCTGCACCTTCTCCCCAATTCTCTACTCTCCCAAGGGACTCCACTTCCTTTCCCGTTTTTTTTTTTTAGTGAGGGGTGTCGACCACACCCTGTGGTGCTTGGAGGTCACTCTCAGTGGTGCTGGGTTGGGGGCCTAACAGCACCTCGGGCAGAACCTGGGCACCATGCAAGCAATGCCTGGGCTCCACCACCTGGGCCACCTCTGGCCTCATTCCTTTCCTTTTTTTATGGCCTTTCTGCCCTGGCCCTTCCCGCGCCCACCGGCCCTGGATTTTCCCAGTCTGTTCTAGCCCAGATTCTCTTCTCCCTCTTTCTGCAGCCGTTTCATTCCATCTCAGTCCATTTCTGGCCTGCTCCAGGCACAGACGGGGTCTGGGCCAAGCAGGCTCTTGCTCATCTGTGGAAGATCAGACAGAGCACCGGGCACTATGGACAGGTCCCTCAGTCCCGCACCCCTCCAGCCTAGCAAAAGCCTGCAGACCCAGAGACTTGGGAGCCAGGGGAAGAGGCGCTCCTTGGCTTGGAAGAGGAAGCAACGGGCGGGGGTGGGGTGTGGGGGGTGAATGGGGTAGGCCTAGCTGATGGGCTGCGTCTGGGCTGGAGCCTGGGCTGGACACTCCCTCCGGAGCTGGAACGGGGCGCAGGGGAGGGTGGCCGGCGGCCCGGAGGGGCACCTTGAGCGGGAAGCAGGGCGGCTGCTGCACGCAGCTGATCTCGCAGTTGAGGCCCGTGAGGAAAGAGCTGCGGGCGGCGGGCTCGGGCGTGAAGTCCAGGTCGTGGTCGATCAGCTGCCCCCACTGCATGAACATGAGCGAGCGCTGCTGGTCGGGGGTCAGCTGCTCGTTGGGGAAGCGCACCACGGCGTTGGAGACGGCGCGGGCCTGCGGGAGCCAGGGCGTCAGGGCCGGGGCCGCGCATCCCTCGGACCGGCCCGGCCCGGCGTCCCGGGTCCGCCGCCGAACTCACCAGGGGCACCGGGAAGCCGCCGCGCTTCACCCCGGCCGTCCAGCCGTAGGGCAGCGAGAAGCCGTCCTCGTACTCGGCGGGCAGCCAGCGCGCAAAGGCGCGGTTGGAGGCGCCCAGCGTGGGGCTGCGTCTGCGGGCAGGGCCGGGCGCTGGCACCAGGGGGCGCTCTTCGGGGCTCGACGTGCGTCCGTCCTTCCCGCGGCGCCCACCCCCACCCCCACCCAGTCGCTCCTTCCCCGCCCTCCACTCGGCCGCACCTGTTGTTGCACTGCCCAGTGATGGTGCGATACTTGTCCTGCTCGGGGCACTTCACCCCCACGTCCTGGTAGGCGCAGCCACTCGACCGCGACAGCAGATTCAGCTGGGCGGGGGTCAGCACGTCTGCCAGGGCCAGGGAAAGCGGCGTGTGGGAGCTGCACCCCGTGCTTTCCTCCTAGCTGGGAAGCCCAGGAGGCTCTGGCTGGGGAGCACAGTCTGAGCTCGGGGGCGCAGCGAGGATGCTCCCTAAGGCTCCTGGAAGGAGTGGGGTGGAGGCGGGGATGGCGGGGAGGCGGCTGGGGTCACCTGGAGGGGGTGAGGATGGAGCAGGGGAAGAGGGGTAGGTGGGGTACTGGTACCCGTGACATTGAAGGGTCCTCGCCACAGGCTCCGCAGTTTCACCTCGAGCAGCCCCAAGGCCACATGCAGGTAGTCAGCAGCCCGCACGGCCGATCTGGTGGCTGCCACTGGCTGCTTGAAGTAGGACAGGAGCTCCATGGGGCTGACCGAGCCGCTGCGCAGCCGCTGCTTGATGCTGCGTGAGCAGGGGGTGCGGGAGTGAGGGACAGAAAAGGGTGAGGGGAGGCCAGAGAGATAGACAGCGGAGCAAGGTGCTTGCTTTGCATACAGCCCATCCCAGTTCAATCCTCAGCACCCAACTTGGCCTGGTGAGCCCTTCCAGAAGTGATTCCAGGGGTCCAGGCCATAGTACAGTGGGTTGGGAGTCTGCCTTGCAAGCGGGCAACCCAGGTTCAATTCCCTGCGCCCCAGGTGGTCCCCCAAGCCTCACCAGGAACAATCCCGGAGCACCAAGCCAGGAGAAACCTAAGCATGCCAAGTATGGCCCCAAAACCAAATAGGAAAAGAAAAAGGGCCGAGTCCCAGCGCCCATTCTCCTGAGCCACAGAAAGGAAGAACTTTTCCTATACACACAGGCATGACGGGCAGTGGGATGCGTGGTTTCAAAGGCGTTCTCATCCTCAGAACAGAAAGACTGACAGACAAACAGACAGGCAGACACTCCCAGCCCCACTCCCAAGTTCTCTCAGGCCTGTTCTTCCTCCCTATCTCTCTGGCCACCCTGGCCAGCACTGTCCCATGCCAGGGCCCACCTTTCCCGGCGGTCCTTGTAGGCCTTGTCCACGAGCCGCTTGGCCTCCTCCATGCAGTTCAGCACCACTGAGTTCTCCACATTCCCCGGCATAGCTGCCCAGAACAGGGGGCACAGGTGAGGAACAGACACACAGACCCCCATCAGAGCTAGCTGGCCGCCTGTGACAGAGACTGGGGCCCTCCCTGACCAGTCATCTCTCCCCAACTCTGGCCCTTACCTGAAGTGGCACCGTCAGAGGTCTGTGGCATGGCCAGAGTGACGAGGACCCCTGCCAGGGCCAGAAGCAGCTTCATCTCTGCAACAAGACCCTTCCCTGTCCAGGAAGCCCAAGCCCACCTTGCCTGAGAAGGGGTCCCACAAGCCCACCCTCACACCCTAGTCCCACCTCAGTGGGACTTGAGAGAGACGCCCTTGTCACCCCTGCCTCTGTTAACTTCAGTCACTCAAGGCCCCAGGACCCCAACTCTGAAGCTTATCTAACTCTTGGAACCCCTCCCAACTGAATCCGGCCTTTTATGTCCCAAAAGGTGGGGGTGGGGGGGAGGAGGGACGGTCCCTAGAGACTTAACCCTTTCCCTCTCCCCACTGAAGTTGGGTGCACACAATGAGGTCCTTGATATGGGGAAGAGGGGGTACCCAGGAAAGAAGGGATCAGAACTGTCCCCATCCTTAAATTGAGCACTCCCTCCCCAGTTTCTCAGCTGTATCTAGAGGATGCAGACAATGAACCCCACTCCAAACATGCCAGGGTTCCACCTGACAATGGCAGTGGGAAGTGGTCATTGGGAGGAGGAGGGGCACTGAAAGGTGGTGAAGGGTTATGCATGAAACTCTACCAGTAACAGTTCTGTAAATCACGTTGCCTGATGTTTATTTTTACAAGAACCTGTCACAGAGACAAACTAGTAGATGGGAAGGGATCTGGGGGCATTGGTGGAGGGAAGTGGACACTGGTGTTGGAACATTATATGCCTGAAACCCAGTAATAAACAACTTTGTAATTCATGATGAATAATTTTTTTTAATGTCAGTGCTCTTTTGAAAGAGACAAAAGTCAGGAGCCCACAGCCTGAGACCTCTGGGAAAAGCTACCCCAGCAGGCCAGGAGGGATAGGGCAGACTGGAGCCACCAGGGGCCACCCTCACCCAGAAGTGACCTGGATAGCGGCGCTGAGTCTGGAGGGCAGCCCCTATTCTGGATGAAGGCTGAAGGGACAGGAAATCTGGCTGGAGGCCGTTAGGCTTCACAGAAAAGAGGATCTTGGGGGTTAGGGGCTGAGGACCAAGGTGACTTCCTGTGTCTCTCACCTCCTTTCCTTTCTTCTTGACTTTGTAGGAGGGTGTCTTCAATACCCCACCAGCTGCTCCTGGATTTCAGAAACCAGGAAAGAACAGAGCCGGTTGTGGTTAGAGACCCCTTAGGGGCCACAGCCCAGGGCCATACTGGGACAAGATCCCTGCAGTTTGTAGGATCCTTCTGAAATAGAAGCGGTTAGGGGTGGAAGTGTTTCCCTGAGGAAGATGGCAGAAGGGCTGTGGCCTCAGGCAGAGCAGCCTGGAGAATTGCCTGTCCTCATGCCCCAAGTTTGTTCTGACCCCTCCTCCTGCTTTAACCACAACCCAACCACTTTTGTCCTCCGTGTCCAGATCACATCTTGGCCAAGGAGCAGTGCCAGCACCATACCAGGAATGTTCTGGTCAGCACAACGTCCAAGCAGAGCCCAGGGTCTCTCAGCCTTGCTCTTCCAGTGACTAAAGATGTGTGAACTTGGACAGATAGCAGAACCAGAATTTTCTGGAATTATATAGGCTTTTCAAAATATTATTTTAACCTTGTAAGGTATTCTCCATGAACTGTGTACAAAGCAAGCACCCAGCCCCTGTACTATCAATCCAGCCCCGCACTCCAGTTCTTTGAGCTATCACCCCAATCCATAATATATCCTAGAAATACATACATACATAGAGATAGATACCTTAGGGGTCAGAGAGATAATGCAGTGGTTAAGATACATGCCCTGCATGCAGCTGACCCCGGTTCAGTTCCCGTCACCACACGGTCCCCCAAGCATTGCCTGATATAGCCTTGGAGACTCCCTAACACTGCAGGAGTAACCCAGGTAAACCCTTGCACAGCAAGGCCTGAGTCATGCCATATTCTCAGACTCTTGCATTGAACAACAAGCTCAGTTGTTTGAGAATAATTGGGAGGGTCTCAGGGCTTTCTGAGCATGCATAGGAGGTCCAAAAACAACTACAAAAAGAACATACTTTGTAGTGGAAGTGACATCTGCACTTGTTTGTTCATTGCAGCACTCTTTACAATAGCCATAATCTGGAAAAAACCTTAGTGCCGGAGAACAGATGACTGGTTAAAGAAACTCTGGTACATCTACACAATGGAGTACTATGTAGCTCTTAGAAAAGATGAAGTCATGAAATTCACATACAAGTGGTACTACGTGGAAAGTATCATATTAGGCGAAATGAGTCAGAAAGCGGGACAGACACAGAAAGATTGCATTCATCTGGGGAACATAAAGCAACAAAATGGGAGACTAACACCCAGGAGTGGCCGAGATTAGTACCAGGAATTTTGCTCCATGACTTGGAGGCCAGCCACACGTGCTAGGGGAAAAGGAGGCTCAGATAGAGAAGGGAGCACCAAATAAAGGGTGTTGGGAGGATCCTCCCAGGATGGGAGAAGCATGCTGAAAGTAGACTATAGACCAAACATGATTGCCACTCAATACCTCTCTTGCAAACCACAGGACCCAAAAGGAAAGAGAGAGAACAAAAGGGAATGCCCTGCCACAGAGGCAGGGTGGGATGGGGGTTATGGGGGGTGGGAGGGATGCTGGGACCCGTGGTGGTGGAGGATGGGCGCTGGTGGAGGGATGGGTACTTGATCATTGTATAACTGAAACCCAAGCACAAAAATTTGTAAGTCTATAACTGTAAAGGTAAAGGTAAAGGCCCTCCCGTTGATCGTCGATTTGCTCGAGCGGGCCCAGTAACATCTCCATTGGAGACTTTGTTGTTACTGTGTTTGGCATATCGAATACTCTCGGTAGCTTGCCAGGCTCTCCGAGAGGGGTGGAGGAATCGAACTCGGGTTGGCCATATTGGCCGCATGTAAGGCGAACGCCCTACCGCTGTGCTATTGCTCCAGCCCTGTACATGGTGTTTCACTAATCACTGTTACTGTCACTGTCCTCCTGTTGTTCATCGGTTTGCTCGACCGGGCCCAGTAACGTCTCCATCATGAGACTCGTTATTACTATGTTTGGCACATCGAATACATCATGGGTAGCTTGCCAGGCTCTGCCGTGCGGGCAAGATACTCTCGGTAGCTTGCCGGGCTCTCCGAGAGGGGCGGAGGAATCGAACTCGGGTCAGCCATGTTGGCTGCGTGCAAGGCAAACGCCCTACCACTGTGCTATCGCTCCAGCCCTGTTTCACTAATAAAAAAAAAAAAGAACATACTTTGTTATTTTATGGAATTAGGGAAATTACTCCAGTGGAACAGCATATGCCTGACCTGTGTGAGACCTTAGCATTTAATCCCCAGTCTGGTAGGGCCCCTCAGCACCATGAGATATGGTCCTGGGGGCCTCTGAGCACCACCAGGCTCCCCAATGCCCACTAGATATGGTCACAATAAAAATCATAATGGGAGGCTGAAGAGATAGTTTAACGGATAGGGTGCTTTCTTTGCATGCAATTGACCTGGGTTTGATCCTTAGCATCCCATATGGTCCTCCAAAGCACTGCCAGGAGTAATTCCTGAGTACAGAGCCAGGAATTACTGAGCATTGCCTGGTGTGGCTTAAAAAACAAAACAACAATAAGAACAAAACTAATAATAATAAGGCTGGAGAAAAGATCCAAAGTCCTGGACTGTATGCTCGGCTTGTGGGAGACCCTTGTTCAGGAATTCTGGCACTACATGGTCTGCCAGCACAGCTGGATATAGCATCATCATCATCATCATCATCATCATCATCATCATCATGTTTACAGCCTAAGTTGTGTATTATAATGAGTGTTTTAAACACTGAGATGTGTATTGTGAGGTTATTTAGTCATTATGCAAACATCTTAGAACAGAACTGCTCAAAGGTGGTATACTAGGTCATACAGTTTAGCCTGTTGGAATTCTTTTCTATCTGTGGGCCATCACTGACCAAGACACTGGTAAGCACTTTATGACCACATTTAATTTAACTACAATGTCCATTTTTTTGTCAACAAATATATATTTACCTCATTTTATTTCTACAGAATATTTTATTTGAAGTACTATGATTTATTCACTAATCCTCCCTCTTGGTAGATACTTGGCTTTCCTTGTTTCACTATTATAAATGATACTAGGATCAACAACCATGAAGTTAAGTCTCTAGTCACATCTTCAATTATTTCCATTGGCACAAAATCCTAGAAGCAAAATCACATATTTGGGAATCCACTTTTTAAGGCACTGAGCTGTGAAAAGACCTCATAAAGATTGTACCCCATCCTTCCATCAACCTATTGATGAAAGGTGCAGCTATTTCTTATCTCTCTTGTGGACTTAGACCATCCGTGTCCTTTCACTTTATGGGAAATTTGTCAAGGCATGAGAGGAAGCAACATTTAATACAAGGCCCAGTAGCACAGATGAGAAAGATGAAAGAGAAAGCAGAAACTTTGCCAAGGACAACAGCGCAGTTGCCTTCAGAATCATCTCACTGTCAGGTCTCTTGGATTCCTAACCCGTGTCTTTGCCCACTGTGTCCATATTTCTGCCTTTTCACTCTGCATTTTTCCATCAAGTATTTATTGAGCTGTTGCTGAACTAAGTAGGACAGACCTGGTTCTCAGTGGGACAGGAGAATGCAGGAATGCAAGCCCATGGAGCCAAGAATTCATGCAGTAGCCTTCAAGAGCATCAAAGAACAGAATTTGGGTCAACTGAGGGGATCTAGGAAGGCTCCCTTAAGGAGCTGCTTGAGACATCCTTGAAGAAATTTAGAAGTTCACCAAATGATACAGGGAGGGAAGAGCATTCTGGGCATAGCAAGCAGATGACTCTTAACTGCCCAAGTTTATTCCAAACCAGCCTGTCATGGAGGGGCCCTCCAGCGCCTCATCCTGCAGGGTGGTCGCCAGAGAGCATTCCTGGGCCCCCTATAGTCCACTTCCTGGTGAAGTACAACTGCCAATGGTATAATGGTATAACGGGTCTCTCTGTTACAGTTTGCAAAACAGCTTGTCTTTCTTAATGCAGTTGGAGCAACAGTTCAGTTAGTATTACAACCAGATTTCCCGTGTGTGTGCAGTTGGAGAGAGGGAAGCTGTGGAATGTGTGTGTGTGTGTGTGTGTGTGTGTGTGTGTGTGTGTGTGTGTGATTCCACTGACATGGCTAGTAGTGCCAACTCCAGAGAACTGGTTTTCTCTTTTTAAAATTGTCCAAACTAATTTTGAATTGGTGATACTTGGATTTATTTGGAATGAGATGTAAGCAGCAGAGATCAAGAAAAGCTCAGTTATCACACCATACCCTCTTCCAGTCCCTGTGGTGCTGTCCTCAATTGTGTTTGTGCTTTCAAACCTTGTATTTGACATTCTATCATCTTTATGGATCTGTGGGAAATAGTCTCTTCCAGTATTTTTCCACAAATTATACCACCACATTTTTATAAGGTTCTGCAATGTGCTTTTTTTTATTCAACACCAGATCTGATGAATCTATTCTCTGCTTAAAGAAAAAACAATACCATCTTTTTTTGGTTTGATTTGGGGCCACACCTGGCAGTGCACAGAGCTTAATTTTTACTCTGCTCTCATGAATTACCTTTGGTGGGCTTGGAGGACCATATGGGGTGCTGGGGATCAAACCTGGATAGGCTGTGTGCAAGGCAACTGTATTATCCTCCACAATACCACTTTTTAACATTTCCAAAGTATTCTTTACTTGAAATACATCTCCATTACCTTACCTTTCCTTTCTTTGAGCGATATCTCCATTGCCTTTCTTTTACTGATGGAAGGCAACATTTTGCATTGACGGGCCAGGCAGATGGCTCAGTGGCAGAGCACATGCCTCACATGTATGATGCCCTGGGTTTCAGCTCCAGCACTGAATGGTCCTCTGAGTACTATGAGCAATCTTGAGCATGAACTGGAAGAGGCCCCTGAGCAATAGCAGGTATGCCTCAGGCCAGAACAAAGCAGCAAAACATCAGTAGACCCCCATAGATTCAAACATATGTGTTTCCTCTGTACAGCTTAAGATCACAGGTTTTGTGCATTTTGAGTTTTGTTCTGTTTTTTGGGTCACACCAGGCAGTACTCAGGGGTTACGCCTGCCTCCTTACTCAGAAACTACTCCTGGAGGTGTTCAAGGAACCATATGGGATGCCAGTGTTTGAACCTAGATGGCTTCATGCAAGGTAAATGTCCTACCTGCTATACTATGTCTCCAGTTTCAAACTTCATAAAATTCTTAAGGGCAAGCAATGGAATCAGATTATTGGTTTAATATTTTTCTTTGATTTGTAGTCATATGGATGATCTTTGTATTTGCATTGCCTATACAATTCCTGAGCTTGGTTTTATGCCTTTTCCTATCAGATTGTCACTCTTTTAATTTGGTTTATGAAAGTAACTGTCTACTCTGGAAAAACACTAACTTGTCAACTCTCATATATGTGGCTAATATTACATTTCCAGTCTATCATTTTATTTATGTAGGTTTGTTTTTGTTTTTGCTTTGGGGACATACTGGCAGTGCAGGGGAAGCTACTCCTGGCTCAGTGCACAGCGGTCACGCCAGTAGCAGTTTGTGGTGGGACCTTGTAGTGCTAGAAATTGAACCTAGAGCTTCTACATGCAGAGCATGTGCTCCAACCCTTGGAGGTGTGTCCCCAGACATCATGTCTTTCATAGGTGTTTTTAATTTAAAGTGGTGAAATGTATCAATGTTTTCCTCATGGGTTCTTCTCTTTAGACTTGTTTTCATTTTTTCCTTTTCATATTTTCTCAAGATCATAAATATATATATTCTCCCCTATTTTTCTAATAATTTAGTTGATTTTTCATTGAGATCGCTAAGCCCTATGGAATTTTGTAAGTGAATAGCATACATTAGGGAGCTATGTTCATCTTCTTCCAAATGGGTAAGCAGGGTCAAGGAGAGAGCTTATAGGGCTAGAGCAGAGCTTGGGCTTCAGAATTCCAGAGCACTGAGTACCACCAGGTGTGTCCCCAAAAGAAAACAAATTGATAAGTAATTGCCCCAGTGAGTTTAATAGGAGCCCCTATTACTAAAAGAAAACCAAAAATTCCAAAGGTATAAGTAGCTGTCCTAATGCTTTTTTTCTTTTGGGGGGGGTCATACCCGGTAATGTACAGGGGTTACTCCTGGCTCTGCACTCAGGAATTACTCCTGGGGTGCTCAGGGGACCATATGGGATGCTGGGAATTGAACCTGTGTCAGCCGCGTGCAAGGCAAATGCCCTACCCGCTGTGCTATAGCTCCGGCCCCTGTCCTAATGCTTTTAACTGAAAAGTCTATCATCTTGCCAGTGAATTGAGATGCTGCTTTTATCATGACAACATAAATGTATGTTTCTAGATTGTTCTTAGTTTTATTTGGTTTGGGTTTTCCGGTCACACCCAATGATGATCAGGACTTACTTCTGGCTCTCCACTGTGGGGGAGATTGGGGACCCATAAGCTAGGGATAGAACGTAGATTCGTCACATTCAAGTCAATTGCCCTACCTGCTGTACTATTGCTCTGGTCTGTTTCTAAATTGTTCTAATCTACTCATCTATTAGCCCATTTATAGACAGTCACCCTCTGATGGAACTTCTGATGGAACTTGATGGAACTTCAAGCAAATTTCCATCTGAGTGCCTCTCCAAGGAGTCCTTTGCCCCAAGTAGAGCCCAGCGTCGGTTTTGTGAAAATAGACTTTATTATAATAAAATGTCTTTTTAAACAAATGCCCCACCCTGGAGACCAAGGTGGGGGTTGGAGTTCCAGACAAACCATCTCCCACCATTGGAAGGAAACATGCAGACATTCGTCGCACAGGAAGGTGTGGAGGGGAGATGAAGGTCACGGGTGGAGAGCCTTAGCCCACGGGGAACTGGGGATGTATGAAAATAGATGCATCATCTGCCCTTTCCCCGGCCCCAACACTCCCACGGGGGCCAGAGGAAATGGATGCAAAAGAGAAATTGAATCCGATGAGCAAAATAAGGCAAACCCAACTCCTGCTTTCTGCCCGCTGGCCCCGGGTCTCTTGGGGTGAGGACACATCGGGGCCAGGAGGCCGGGCGGCAGGGCAGGCGGGAGCACTATGCGGGCGGGGGTCAGCCCGCTTTGGCATGGCCTTCTCCTTCTCGGGCCTGCGATGGAAGCGAGATGGAGGAAGCTGGCTGAGGCACTGAGTATGTACATATATACATGGCTCCGCCCCGCCGCGTGAGGGGCGGAGCCTCGCAGACTCCAGCTCCGCCCCTGCACCAGGGGCAGAGCCTTGGGAGGTGCTGGCTCCTCCCCACGAGGGCGGGGCCTAGGAGGCTCCACGCCCCACCCTCTGTGTAAGGGGCGGAGCCTCGGGATAGTCCAGCTCCGACCCCCCCAGGGGCGGGGCTTTGGAGACTCCAGTGCAAACTTGTCTTCAGGATAGCCAGTCTCAGAGGGGGTGGTCAGGTTCCTTTCTCCCCCAGTTTCTTCCCCAGGCTCCCCCGCCCTGACTTGGGACTGGGGGATGTCTCAGAGGGCACCAGTACTGTATGGTGGGAAACCAGGCGCGGAGGTAACAAGTCCTGGGTACAGTCCTTGGCCAGGTGACTTTGTCACTCTGGGACTCAGTTTACTCCCTGTAAGAGGAAGGTGCCCCTTGGGAGGACTTAGCCTGAAGAATCTATCTGATCTGACCCTCACGAGTCTCCGGTTCCCATCCAAATGCCACAGTGTTAACTCGGAAGATGAGCTGTGGGGGTTGCCCGCCCAGCCTGGACTGAGGTCTGGGGTCCCCGTGGAGTCACTCCTTTGTCCCAGAGCCCAGCTTCAGGAGGAGCTGCTTCCCCTTGGAGAAGAGACCTCTCACCTTCTCTCTTGTGCCCTGTGCCCGCCCTAGCTCAGTCCTGGGACTGCTGCCAGGTTCAGGGGCACAAGGCCAGCCTCGGGGCGTGGGGTGCCCTCGCTTTGTGCTGCTCCAGTCCTGGAATGAAAGATAAAGGGGGTAAAGACAAGGTCCATGCTCCTTTCATGTTCCCACCTCAGGAGCCTTCTTGCTTCATGTCCCTGGACCCTGGAGAAAATCAGAGTGCCCTGCCCAGTCACTGCACCCCGCCTCAGAGCACAGAGATGCTAAGGGAGCACTGTGAGGGCTGTAACCTGGTCCCCCTCCTTCTCCAGGGGTCTCTGCAAATGCCTCATGGACTACTCAGGAGTCAGAGACTGAACCTGGCTAGTGACTCTGCTATTCCCACCCCTGGGAGGGGACAGCAAACATTTGGACCTCTCAGAGGCTGGATGTTGTCTGTCTCCTCCAGGGAAAGGGGCCTTCTGCCACCTCACCTGGTCCAGTCAGGACTTGTCCCAGAGAATGGAGTCAATGCCCACCCAGGGCCCCTGAAGTGCCACAGGGATCCAGGGTTTCAAGGAACTCACAGTTGGACCTCACTCAGCACACCCCACACTGCAGGCTGTCCTGTCTGCTTAGATAGCCTCTTCTCCTGAGATCTTTCTGCAACCCTGAGCCACTGCCTTGGCCAGGACCCACCAGGCACTGGGAAAACTTGGAGCTAGAAAAAGCCTCCCACAATCTCTACTTTATGGACCTCCTATGTCTGGCACAACCTACAAGGAGCCCAGCCAGGTCTTGTCAGCCTGTCCCTACGCCTGACTCCCTCAAACTCACCACAGAGACCAGAGACCAGCAGTCTCCTGGCAGCCACCGGACCCAGATCAGAGGCAAACCACCTGGGTGCCCAGTCTGGGGCACACCCAACCCCATCCCTCAAAGGCCTGCCCACCACAAGTTCTGCATATACCCAGGAGTCAGAACATTTACTGCCCAAAGAGCATGACACAAAGGACAAGGGTGAGAAGACTATTACTGGTGGCATTAGTGTCATCCTTCTGCCACCAAGAATAATCACCATATTATGATACCATAAAGTATCATAATACATGAATGTGCCATCATGTGGATGTCAACGGCTAGTTCATTCTTCAACAAGAAGAACCGGCTAGTGTGTGACATGGTCTACAAGATGACAGGTGATTCCTAGGACAGCTGGCATTGCCGAAAGGCAAGGGAAGGGGAGGGGGTGATCCTGCATCCAAAGCTGGCACGATCTCCCTCCACCTCGCCTAAAAAGCCAGGTCAGCTGAAAAATTCGAGACAAAGGAGCTGCTGCTGGTGTGGGGAGGGGTCGCATGGACACAGGGCCAGCCGCCCCCACTTACATGTTGCTCTCTCTACTAAATCTATCTCCAGCTAGCACTGGACTCTTCTCCTCCTCGTTCTCTGAAGAACAGGGGACAAAGAGAGGAGAGGGTTACGGACACACAGCATGCTTGTGCCCAGTCCCCAGCTCACCAGGACGACAGGGGCGCCCTGCTGGGCTGGTGCCTCTGTGCCCTCTCCCTGCCCCAGGAGGCTGGAGCTGAATCCACACCCTCCCCCAAGAGAGACAAACTCTAGGAGTAAGAACCCCAGAAGCGGGGTCTGGCTGCGCAACTGGCCTCAAAGGGCACGTGGGGAATGGAGGTAACTCAGTAGAGAGCACCGGGGTCTTGCATGAGGGAGGCCCTCACTTCCATCCCCAGCACTGCAAACAAACGAAAAGGTAACTGGGAGACAGGGGGACCCCGTAGGATCGGAGGCCCCTTATGCTGGGGCTATGACTGGCTATAGATGGGCAGGTCGGGGTCCTTGTGCCAAAGGGTTCCAGCCCTGTGCTGGGTGATACAACAGACGTGCTGGGATGAGGCTGGCAGCCAGCATCCCTTTGCAGAGAGGGGCCTCAAAGAGGAGGAGCAGATGCTAGCGGGACTCCCTCAGGGGCTAAGGCCGCAGCTCCCCTCAGGCCATCACCCAGCTCATCCCTCCCTCACAGTCCACAGGCAGCTGGAGTGGGGTGGGGTGGGGGGAGGGAAGTCACTGACCTGACCTTCGCTCTGTGGTGGGCGGGGCTCCCTGTCCCTGTCCAAGCCGCCTACCTCAGGCCCCGGTGCCTCCAGGAAATTGGATGGAACCAGACCCCTCTGTCCATTCAGCTCCCCCTGGGGAAGAGAGGCGGGTGAGGATGGACATCACTGTTCCTGCAATGACTGCTCTGTCCTGGCAGGCTCCTTCCCTCCTTTCTGACAGTGCAGGTAGGGTGAGGCAGGGGCCAGCACCAGGTCCCTCAGTGTACTCACATAATAGAAACCATCATCGTCCATGGCCCCAAACACAGTGATGATGTCCCCTGCCCGGAATGACAGCTCTGCCTGCAGAGAGATGGAAGGTGGGATCAGGGGTCAGGCAAGGGGTCAGGAGTCAGAGCCACGGGATGCTTCCCGACCCAGGCTCCAACAGGACCTCACCTCCACGTCCATGTTGGGGGAGCTCTCCCGGGGGTTGTAGTCAAATGCAGCCACCATGGAGTGCGGTGCCTTCAGGCTGGCAGAGGTGGGCTGAGGAGCCCCTGCAGGGGTGGGGGTGGGACGCTCAGATTCCTTCCAGACCCCCCCACCCCGTACCCCATACTCTGCCTCAGAGTCCTACTGTTCACCATCACCCCACAGCTTATAACCCCAGAGGGGCTTCCCCGCCCCACCCCCACCCCACCCCCATTTCCCTGCCCAGAGAACCCCCCCTCCTCACCTGTAGAGGGCTGCTGGGCAGGGAGTGGGACCTCAACTGTGGAGAGAAAGTGTATGAGCCCCTCTCTGGCCCTCCCTGTCACCTCCCCAGGTAGTGTGCTATGGGACATGCTTGATGCTCCCACTGGTAGTAAGGGGGAACTTGAGCAGAGAGTCCAGCCCTTGGGTTTGGGGAGTGAACCGAGGTGTAGAGAGGACCACTGTTCCCAACTTCACAGAACCCACAGCTGGAGGGCCGACACCTTCCACATGTCACCTCAGAGCCACCAACACCCCCATCCCCACTCAAGCTACCAGGACCCTGCTGGAAAATGGGGTCTCACCAACCTTTCTTGGAACGGCGGGGCTTGGGGGGAGGCCCAGAAGTGCGGGCAGTGGAGTACACAAAAGGATAGCTCCCTGATTCTGGAAGACCAGGAGAAGCAAGAGAGAAGGCAGGAGGAGTCAGGGGAGACAAGACCTGGAGTCTCAGGTGGGACCAATGTCTCCAAGCTCTAAAGGGCATTTCCCTCCCACCCCTACCTCAGGGTCCCATTGCTTCCCTTTGACCACCCCCCCACCCCCCGCCTGCTGTAGCCCCACAGGCCTTTGTCTCTGCTGGACTCCAGGTCACTGAGGAGCCCAGTCGGGGACCAAGAAATGAGTCACCGAGGAACCCGGTCAGTGGCAGGAAGTAGATGAGGGACAAAAGCCAATCATACCTGAGACCTCAGCAAGAACTTCTGGGGACAGAAAAGCCCGCTGGAGTAGATGCTGTCTTCTCGTGGGACTGTCCACTGCCACCTCGGCCACCATGTTGCAGGGGATGTAGCCCATCCGGCCCCCAGCTTCACCCCAGTAGAAGCCATCTGCATCCTTGTCCCCAAACACCTGGAGACAAAGACCAGCTCAGCTTGCTCTGTAGACTGCCAGTCCCGCACCCTGCCCTTGGAGCCACAGGGTCAGACCCTTCCTTGTGCAGAAACAGGAAACAGGGAACCAAGAATGAGGCTCAGAGGGAGGAGAGAGCCGAGTCCTTGCCAAGTGGCCCCACGCTCTCGGGGACCCCAAGAATAGCAGAAGCCTTCCCTGCACTCTGAAAGACCAGCTGACCCTGGCGACCCCACCAGCAGCAGTTGGGAGCGGGTTTGACCAGGGAGTGGGTCTTTAGGTATGGGGAGCATGAAACCACTGTGTGTCTTGTATTCAATTTGCAACCGCTGAATCTTGCCCCACGGTGAGGAAACTGGGGCCCAAAGAACTCAGCTCATCTATTCAGGTCACATGCAGGCAGTCACAAGTCAGGATGTGAACCCAGATCATCTGGCTGCCTAAGCCCCCTTATGTGACCAAGACACCTAAAGCAGGAGTGAGGGGTCCGTGGGGAGGGGGTCACCTTCAGGATCTGGCCTTCCCGGAAGGGGAGCTCCTCTTCCCCCGCATCAGGGTTGGGCGACATTGACATGGGGTCATAGTCAAACAGAGCCACGAAGAGCCGGACAGGCAGGTTCCGGTGAGTCAGTGCTGCTTCTTGGGGACACCTGGGAGAAGCTGTGGAGAGGGTCAGGGGAGATCAGGGACCATCAGCCCTGGTCAGGGGTGCAGCAAGGCCCACCCAGCCCAGACCACCCCGCCATCAAGTACTCACCCAGCTCCTGGGCACTGAGTCTGAGGGCCCGACCCCCTTTCCGAGGAGGACCCCTCCGCCCAGAGCCATCCTGCCCTCTGGGCTCCCCGGTCTCTGCTGCCTGCAAAGAGAGGGCAACAGATGGCAGAAGTGACGCCCCATCCCTGTGGGGCGCCCAGCACGGCAGGTCCCCGCAGTCCCCCAGCTCTGCCCCAGCAACAGAAGCAGCAGCATCAGCAGAGCCGGGACACAACATTCTTCTCCTGGAGCCTGGGCCCAACCTCGCTGGCGCCATCAGCCCTCCGGGGAGGAGGCCCCTACTCAGGCCGCCCGCGGGGTGAGTGTGGACGAGGGGCTAGGGTTGATCTTAGCGCTGGGGGGACGGCCTCTTCTCAGTGTCAGGGCTGGGGGACACTGGGCAACCACGCAGCATCCTGGAGATGGAACTAGCTAAGTAGAGGAAATGGGTCCCGCGCTAAGGCAGAGGCTGGCTGGAGGCCACTGGCCACTAAGGAAACAGAATATTGTGCGTCCCAGTTCCGGTCACCGACAGAAGCAGCCAAGCGGTGGAATGCGGGTGGGAGGAGCAGGTGAGAGCGCCCAGAGGCCCAGCCCCACGTCTGCGGATGGAGGCGGCAGCAGCGTGGAATGGGAGCGGCTGGTGGGCAGCAAGCAGGGCCACCAGGCAGCGGCAGGCAGGGGGCTGCCCGGGTGGGGGGTGGGCACGGACCCGGGAGGGAGGCTCCTTGGCTCGGCCGGTCGCACTGCGGCCTCTCCGCTCGGGCTCCCCTTTCTCCCCGGCTGGGAGGCGTGGGCTGGGGCCGGGGCCTGAGCTGGCCTTCAGAGCGCCCCTGGACCGTCCCAAAGGAGCTGAGGCCCAGGCCTCCTCGTCCCCGACAGAGCCGGAGCTGCTGGTGCCGACAGCCCTGCCACCTGCCTCCTGCTCATCCTCAGAATCATACTCGATGCTGATTTCCAAGCACTTGGGGGAGAGGCAGCTGGCCAGGGAAGATTCTGGGGCCCGGCCACGGGAGCATGTCCGGGCAGGGGCAGGCCGCCCTCTCCCACCAGCCTCGGGGCCGACCCTGATGCCCTCGCTCAGAGCGGGGCTGCCCCTCTCCTGCACAGGGCCCAACCGGCTTGGGGTCTGGGGCCCCCCGTTGCTGAGAAGTCGGCTGCAGTGTTCACGGGAGTCTGGAGCCCGCCGGCGATTTAGAGGTTTCTCGGGGGAGCTGCTTCTCCTTCGGCGGCTGCTTCCCCCAACTGTTCCGGGCACATCCTGCAGGCAATCCCCAGCCCCATAGGGCTCAGGAGACAAGGAACCTGGGCCAGGTCCGTGGGCAGGACCGCCGGACCCTTCCGCCGCTGCCACAGGCTCAGGCAGGCCAGGGTCTCGAGAAGAGCCTCTCCCTGGCTTCTCCTGGTCCTCCCGGTCCTCCTCCTCCTCCTCCTCTTCCTCCTCAGGGATGCTAAAGAGCTTCTTGCTGCAGAATTGCTGGAGAGGCAGCTCCAGGATCTGCTCCAAGATCTCCTCGTCGCTGTCAGTCTCACAGAAGGGGTCGGGCTGGGGCTGGGTAGGGAGCAGCAGGGGAGAGAGGTCCATAGGAAGAGCAGAGAACTGTGACCTTTGCCCTCCAACGAGGGCAGAGGTTGCAGGCAACCACTTCACCTTCCCTCTGCTTCCTCCAAAGGAAATGAGAGGGGGGGGGGGGAGAGAAAGAGAGAGAGAGAGAGAGAGAGAGAGAGAGAGAGAGAGAGAGAAAGGGAAGGGGAGGGGAGGGGAGGGGAGGGGAGGAGAGGAGAGGAGAGGAGAGGAGAGGAGAGGAGAGGAGAGGAGAGGAGAGGAGAGGAGAGGAGAGGAGAGGAGAGGAGAGGAGAGGAGAGGAGAGGAGAGGGAGGAAAAAGAGGAGGGGAGGGGAGGGGAGGGGAGGGGAGGGGAGGGGAGGAAAGGAGCCGCCCAACATGGGACAACTCGGCCACTAAGCTGGAGACTTAGTGAGTGCACCCAAGTCACTCATGCTGTGCGACACTCAGAACCAGGGTCCCAGGCCCATTAGCTGACCCACCCCCACCCCAGAGCTACCAGCGCCAGGACACAGATGGCTGGGGTGTCGCATCGAGTGGCCACACAAGAGTTCTTTTTCCTGCGACTTCTCCCTGGGTGGGCTTCTCCTAAGCCACTGCGTGTTGCGGCCGCGGGACAGGGCCCAGACCATGCTAGTCCGTGGTGGGCATCAGCGGTGGCTGCTGGCGTGGCTGATGTCAACTGGGGCGGAGGCCATTGGAATCCAAGGTCTAGGGCCCCCCAGCCCCTTCTCACCCCATTACCTTGGTGCCCTCCTCCCCGGTGCTGCTGCCTGTGGCCTGCTTCTGGAAAGAGCCAGTCCTAGAGCCTGACTCCTCCTCCTCGTCCTCCTCCTGGATGTCCGAGAGCTCTGGGCTGCGGCCGTGCTCCACGAGGGGTGTTACCTGAAGCCCCCCCGGCTCTGCTGCGTCCTCCCTCTGCAAGAAGCAATTCGGAGGAAGGGAGATGTAGGGGTAGCGAGACTCTAGAGGGGCAAGCCCCCGGCCAGAAGGACTAAGAGTCCTGGGCCGAGGGGGAGAGGGGCGAGCCCCAGCATGGGATGCACGGTGTGGGGTGAGGGAGAAAGATGGGGGGGGGGGGGGAAGAAGGAAAGAAAAATGTGAGGAGTGGAAGGAAATAGCCGAACAGCATGGACGGGGGCCAGGGTGGCTTGGAACACAGCACAGAGCCCCCAGACTGGGCTGGCAGGAAGCAGAAAGGCAGGAGGTTCTCTGAGGGGGCTCCATGGGTCCCCAGTTCCATACCTCAGCCCCAGGCTTCAGCTCAGACCCTGATTCTCCACCTTGGCAGGGCTCAGCACGGGACTCCTGTTGGGTGGAGCAGGGGCACGGGCATGCCTCCCCCTCTAGCCACTCAGCCTCCTCAGCCAGGGGGCCAGCTGTGGGCCCTGGCAGTCTCTCGGCTGGGGTCGGCTCGCAGGCCCTCCTGTCCTCTGAGGTCCCCAGCACAGCAGGCCTGACCCCCTGCAATGGCAAACCCTGAGAAAAGGCCCCAGGTCCAGGCCCCTCCCTCGGCTCCTGCTGCATCCCCTCCCTGACCAGGGCACCTGGGAGGAAGGTGCTGGGTGCTCCTCGGGGGCTTTTTCTTGTGTCTCCCTGGGCAGGTTGGCAGGGGGCCCCCCTGGGGGCTCTCGAGTTCCAGGGTGTTCAATGTGCCGGCGAGGAGAACTGGAGTCTCCAGGTCCCGGGGAGGCTGGAACAAGGGCTGCTCGGGCCTCCAGGCCGGACCGTGGGGAGGTGCAGGCGAGCTTGGCTGGCAGGCAGGCTGCGGCCAGGGCCGGGCCCACGGGAGCCAGGACCGAGTCTGCCGACTCGCCGTGAGGTGACATGGTGCGCACGGCCACCTGGCGGCACACCTGCAGCAACTGCAGCTGTGACACCTCCACCAGCACGCTGCCGGCCGTGGGTGATGCCACCTCCATGAGCTGCGGGACAGAGAGCAGACGCAGAGCTGGCCCAGAGGGAGGACGCAGTGGCCAGCTCTGGCTAGCACAGCCCCTATGCCTCGGGCCCCTGGTCCACCCCACCACAGGGCTTCCCACTGCAGGGGTCGGGGCAATCCCAGTGGATCCACGTCACCTGCTCCCAAAGCCCATGCTCTGTGCCAATCTTTCCGTTAATGTTCCAGCCCCCAAGCCTTGCATCTCTGAGCATGGCAAGGAGGACCCCCCCCAGCACAGGTGGGCAGGGCCCCAGGCCATACCTTCTGTCCATCCGCATAGATAGCATAGCCTGTGACTCGGACCCCATTGGAGGTGCCGACTGCATCGATGGTGACTGGTAGCCAGCTGATGGTCAAGATTCCTGGGGAGGGCCCCGGCTCTATCTGTACATCCAGGGGGGCATCTGGAGGGCCTGGAGAGAGGAGGGTCCAAGAATCAGTCATGGGGGCCAAAGAGATATTGCACTGGGTAGGGCTCATGGCTAACCTGGGTTTGATCCCCAGCACCCCATATGGTCCCTCTGAGCCTAATCAAGAGTGATCCCTGAGCGCAGAACCAGGAGTAAGCCCTGAGCACTGCCGGAAGTGGCCCCCAACCCAAAAGAATAAAGAAAAAACCAGTGATGCAGGACTCTCTCTGGCAGAGACACCAGTGCTCTTTCCCTGAAAATGCCAGTGGCAATTGGCTTCCCATCCCCCAGAGCCTGTCTTCCTGCAGTGCCCGTCGCTGTTCCACACCTACATACCTGCTGGAAGTGTGGTGAACTGCAGGGTGGCAGCCCGCTGCTCTGGCCTCTCCCAGCCTGCTTCCCAGCACCCTCGAGGCGGGAGCTGAGCTTCTACTCGAGCCTGGTAGAGTGTGCCCGGCCTCAGGTGGCAAAAGGTGGCCCAGTAGGTGCTGGGGCGGGCCGGGGGGCACTCTTCCCCATTGAGGTAGATGGCATGGGTCAAGTTGCTGTTGCTGGGCACCCAGGTGATCTCAGCAGATGTGGCGGTCAGCCGATGGACCCGCAGCTGGCTGGGTACCACCTCTGCCCTGGCACCCAGCGCCAGGCAGCAGCGCAGAGGATCAGAGCTGCCCCGGCTGGTGAGGGCCTGCACAGAAACGTGGAGGGGCCCGGCCTGCAGGTCCAAATTCTCCAGAAGAGCCTTGGGGGGCGCGCCCGGCCCCAGGGCCTGGCGCAGTGTCCCGTTCACACAGATATGGTACCCTTGCAGTTCCACACGCTCGGAAGGTGGCTCCCAGGCCAGCACCACGCTGTGGGCCAGCTGCTTGACGACCGCCAGGTGGCAGGGGTAAGGCACAGCTGGGGGCTCGCCTGGGCCCTCGGGCGGGGGGCTCAGGCTGAGTGCATCCCCCGCAGCCTCATCCTCTGGTCTGGGCTGGCTGCGGCTCGCACTGCTCTGACCCCCACTGCTGCTGCCACCCCCGACTCCGCTCAGGAAACTGAGTTCCGGGCCCGAGCTGTGGGACAAATCAGCCAGCTCCATTGGAAGGGAAGTCAGGAGGTCATCGTCGGACACACGCTCCACAAAATTGGAAGGGACCAAGCCCCTGCGGCCATCCATGAGCTCCCCTGGCAGGTGGGACAGGGACAGAAAAAAATAGAGCAGTAAGTGGTCAGCAGGGGTCATGAGCATTTGCTTCAAGCAACATCTGAAAAAGACAATAGTGGGGCAGGAGATGGCCCCAAGAGCTGGAACACGTGCTTTACTTGTGGGAGCTCTCATAGGAGCCCTGGGTTGGATTTCCAGCACTGCACGATCTGCTGAGCTGAAGTTGAGGGATGTAGTAGCATGGTTATGGCCAAAGGAGGCGAATGTGCAAGCATGCAGGTTTAGCTTCCTTCTTTCCTTCCCTCCTTCCCTCCCTTTTTGTTTCTGTCCCTTCTTTCTCCCTCCCTTCCTTCCTCTTTCTTTCCTTGCTTGTCTTTTAGAGTGACAGCAATCGAAGCTAGGCTCTCTCGCTCTCTCTCTCTCTCTCTCTCACACACACACACACACACACACACAGAGAGCAAGTGCTCTACCACTGAGCCACATCCCCAGCTCTACGACTTGCTTTTAATCAGCTTCCTTTCTGCATCTCCAGATGGATACAGCAACGACAGCAGGATGTCAACAAGCATAGAATCTGATCTGATGACTCAGTAGACAAGTCTCTATTTTTCTGTACATTTGAAACTTTCCTATTAAAAAGCTGAAGAATGGGGACCAGAGTGATAGTATAGTAGGTAGAGTGCTTGCTTTGCATGCAGCCAACACAGTTCGATCCCCAACATCCCATATTATCCCCCCCCCAAGTCCAGCAGGAGTGATCCCTAAGCTCAGAGCCATGAGTAAGCACTGAGCACTGCCGGGTGGGCCCCCAAACAAAAACAAAATATTAAAACTTGAACAGAAATGCAGAGGTCCTTAAGAAAACAGATTCTACTCTGGATGTACAGGGTACCCACACCTTCCCTCGGTGGAAAGTACAGCTTTTCCAAGGGAAGTGACCATCAGTTGGGGTGAGGGCAGGAATCCTAGAGCAAAAGACATGTGTCCCAGAGAAAAGAAGTAGTGTGGGTGGGATGAAGGAGGAATGAGGCCTCACAGCGAGCCAGGATCTGGGAGCATGGCTGGTATGAACTGGGCACTCCAAATGAGCCCCTGGACACCTGGCAGTAAAGTGTGGCAAAGTATTTGTTGTTTGAGGTATGCCAAAAAGGGAGGGAACGGGGCTGTGATGAGAGTACAGTGGGTAGGGTGCTTGCCTTGCACACCACCAACCCAAGTTTGATCCCAGGTACCCCGTATGTCCACTGAGTACCACCAGGAGTGATCCCTGAGTACAAAGCCAGGAGAAGACCTGGCCCCAAAACAAACAAATGAATGAACAAAAAGCAAAAAAAAAAGGGAAGAAACTGAGTGAAGTCTCAGGTCATGAGAGAGGAGGGTACTCCTGGGAACGGAAGCTGCTGGCCTCAATGCCTTACTGGGTAGGAGAGAAAGAAAGGATTTAGGGCTCAGCGGGAGTGCAGGTGGGCCTGAGTTGCAGCCCCCCTTCCACCCACCTCTCCACTCATCCTCTGTTTATGCTAGGAGAAAAGAGGCGGGACCAGGGGTGGTGTGAAGACATGAAGAAGCTTCTCTCAGAATTTCAACAATGAGCTCATAGGAGCACTGCAGAGGCTTGAACACGGCTGCAAACATTGTCCTAACCCCTGGGGCTGGGCAGCATGACCATAGTTGGAAAAAGCATCTTTGCAGATGTAATTAAGTTAGGGAGCTTGAGATGAGATCATCCTAGATTATCTGAGTGGGTCCTCAATCCAATGACAAGTGTCTTTACAGGAGAGCCAGAAAGACCACAAAGAGGCCATGTGACTAGTGATCAAAGATGTGGCCAAAGGCCAGGGACACTCGGGACCCCTATAGGTGGACAGGACAGGGCATGGACACTCCCCTGAAGCCCCCAGCGGGGCTTTAGACTTTTGGACGTCAGAGCAGGAAAAGCCATTTATTTGCTCAGCAGCCCTTGGAAGTAAACAGAACTAGCACCAAGCAATGCTAAAGGCAGAAGGCGTCACAAACACAGGTCATAAGGAGAGCTAGGGAATGGCTCAAGGGTCTGGAGTGCATGCTCCGTATCGGACCTCCAGGTTCAATCCGCAGCACTGCTGGGGTGTGGTTCCAAAAAGTGCATGCTTGTGCATTTACACACACACACACACACACACACACACACACACGTACGCACACACACGTGCGCGCACACACGCACCAGACAGTAAGGCTGGTACTGGGACCTCGGTCATGTTTCCGAAGCTTCTGACTGACACTGAGAGAGCAGCCCAGGTAGAACCAGCAAAGTCAAAGCAGGCACTTGCCTGAAGTTTGCCAAGAAATGCCACTGGGCCAGGGATCAGAGCAATAACAGTATAGTGGATAGGTCACATGCCAACCTAGGTTTCAACTGCATATGGTTCCCCAAAACTCCACCAGGAGTGATCCCTGAGTGCAGAGCCAGGAGTCAGCCCTGAGCACTGCTGGGAGGACCAACACCACCCCCTGACCACCACCACCACCCACCACCCACACACACACACACACACACACAGACACACACACAGACACATACACACAGACACACACACACACACACACACACACACACACACAAATACCATCGGGCCAGAAAGAGACAGAGTGTAGGAGTTAAGACATTTATGTTGCATGCAACCCACCCCAATTCAATCCCCTAGCACAAAGTCAGGAGTAACCCCCGAACACTGCTGGGTGTGGCCAAAACGCCACCTCCCCCCCACCAGAAGTAGGGCCTTCTCCAGTCATTTCTGTACCTTTAAACCTACCCCAGGTTGCACAGTTCAGATTTTAATACTTTGGAGTTAATTAATAGTTATGCTTTTGCTGGCACTCTCTAAAAGAAGGTGATGGCGTTTTCTGTTTGTTTTCATTAAAAAGCTGTATTTCTAGGAGCTATTTAATCCTGCTCTCCATTATCTATCCCTATGGGGAGCTTAGCTGTTTCCAGTCATTCCCAGCAGCTACTCAAAACGCAGGCCCAGGAAAGAGAAGCTAAACAGATGCTGAGGACCTGGCCTTATTAACCCAAAGCTTTAGGTCAGCCCCAGCCTCTAGGGCAGGGGCAAAGCCCAGGCACTGTGTACATGAGACCTGGGCAATCCCCAGCACTGCGAACAAGACACACGATTAAGGAGATCCCGGGAGAGAGCACAGGAATCAGGGCTGAAGGCGCCCCTGTGCAGGGTCCCCTTTGGATCTCCCTCATAACGTGGTCTTTCAAGCACTGCCTGGAGTGTCCCTAGAAACCGCCAACCACCATGGGGTGGCGCCTGGCACTGCAGGGCCCAGGCAGCGCCACATCCTCAGGCCACAGCACTCAACCATCCAGCTCAGGGGACCATGCACCGCCGAGAGGACCCCCTGGCCCCCCTATTGCCACTGGGAAGCCCTCCCCCACAAGTAGTAGCTCTAGCCTCTTTCCTACACGGCCCTTCCCGCCCCGTCCGGGTCCTCACCCTGTCCCAGCCCCACCTCACACCTCATCGCAGTTCCCACAGGGCTGCAGGGCTGCCCTCCCTGTTTTAAAGGGTGTAGCCTGCGCCCTGGGAGCCACTGGATACCTCTACCCCCGACCCAGAGTCCAGACTCGGGTCTCTGCTACAGGTGGACTCTCACTAGTACAAACCCTGCCCTGGAGCAACCTGAAAGTGACAGAAGTCTCTATTTCCTGGGATACCCTGTCCATAGTCTGTGCTGTGGGAGGCTTGGGACCAACCCACAGCAAACCAGCTTCTCCGCGTCCCCTGGACCCTGTCCCCTCTCCCTACTCCCTCCCATTTCTCTGTACACCTTATATTGTTGATTCTTCTGTTAAGGTTTTGGAGCCACACCCAGAGGTACTCGGAGGCTACACCTGCTTCCATGCTTAGGTGCCTCTCCCTACAGAACTCAAGGGACAAGGTGGTGTCGGGGACGGATCCAGGCACCCTTCATGCAAAGCGTGTGCTCAGCCCCGGGTACTGTCTCTCTGGGCCCGCCCGATGCCCATTAGCTGGGTGTGAAAGGCTGAGTGGGGTGGAGCATGCTGGGGAACAGGAAGGATGCGTAAGATGAGCATTGGGGGAGAAGAGCTTTTCAAAGCAAGGGAGTGGACAGAATGTCCACTCTGCCTTCCTACCTTCAAAAAACCCATCCTCATCCATGTTGCCGTAGATGTAGATGTACTCGCCAGCAGTGAGCGGAAGTTCGGCCTCCGGATTCTCGTTGGGGCCCTCGAAGGGGTTGTAGCTGTTGAGGGAGGTGCAGGGGAGGAAGCGAACCGCGTGCTAACTCCCACCCTCTCCCGCCCCACGCACTTGGCCCTGTAGGAGCCTCAGTTTCTACCTCCAGTGGCCGCTCCCTGGGTCCACCTTGGCATGTTTGACTGGATTCACTGTACCCCCCACACATTCAGAGACCCCCTTCTACCCTCTACATGCCAAACACTGGGAAGGTGAGGGGGAGGGTAGAGGGACCCACCTGTAGCGTGCCAGGAAGACCTGGATCCTGGCTCCGCCCCGGCTGCCTTCCGGCACTGCCGGGACCAGGGAGACATTGTCTGCCTCCAGCTCCTCCACCTCACTGGCTGTGTCCACCTGGGCGAATAGGAAAGGCCTGTTCCTCCACAGGACCCAGGGCCCACGTGCAAAGCAGGTGACTTCCAGGCTGAGCCGCAGGAGGGAAGGCCCATTGCTTTGAGTAGTCAAAGACCAGGTGTGGTGGCGGAGATGTGCCAGTGTTTTCCAAATCAGCCCCTGAGCAGCCAACGATGGGGACTGACAGCGCCCCACTGCCCCGGGTAGGGTGAGTGGGGGGATACACAGGACCCTCCCCAAGCCGTGGCCTTCCATTCCCCATCAGAGACCATCAGGCCACTCCAGAGTGGGTCCAAAGGGCACGTTGTCTCCTTCTGGTTAAATGCAAGGAAACATTCTGATGGGAAAGAGTGGGAGGGGAGAGGGCAGCGATGGGAACTCCTTAGACAGCCAGCACCTCCCCCTCCGGCCCCCTCGGTCTCCAGACCCAGCACACTGGTCAGGCCCACCAGGGGGCAGCAGAGGCCTGGGGTTGGCATCACCAGCAGGGCAGATGGAGGACAGGATGGGAGCTCCAGATTGATCACCTCCACTTTCAGCAGGGTTTGGGAAGAGTTGTGAGTGGCGTCAAAGCCCTTGGCACTCCTAATAACGTCCCTGTATAAACTGGTCTCTGTGTGCCCCACACACTTGGCTTGCATTTTTTTCAAGGAATCCTTAGCACCAAGATTTAGGCCAAGAAACTGAGGCCACCCAGGGCCAGCGGCTTGCCTCAGACACAGTGAGACTGGCATTCCAGGGCTTTCTCACACAACCATCTGCCTCTGCCACGGCCGTGCTCTTGTGAATAGTCTTATTATGAGGCTCCTGGCGCCAAAGAGTCTCCCTCCAGCCTGCCCAGGACTTCAGGGCCCCTCTGAGACCCAGAGGGGTGTGGCTAGCTGGCCCTGACGTCTGGCCAGCAGCAGGCCCTGGAGATCAGAGACACCTCCCTAGAATGAATCCACCCAGCTGCCCCAAGGAAGGGCCAGAACCGACCCCCAAATCCCTGCATCCCCCAGGACTCCTGACCTCAGGAGTAGGACAAGACTTGGGGCTGTTGTGGATGGACTCAGAGCGGGAGGAGTTGGAGAGAGACTCTGTCTTCTTGGCTGTTCTTCGAGGGCCTCCTGCAGTGTGGACAGAGGCAGGCTCGGAAGACTTGGAGGTACATCGACCAGGGGAACCCGGTGGGAGGTCATCTAAAGAGAAGATAGCAAGGGGCTTGGGAGGAGATCGGGCTGGGGTGGGTGGTATCAGAACTCTAGGCTTGGAGGCGGGAGTGTCAGACCTCCCACAGACAGTTTTCCTCCTGTAGAGGAGAATAAGGGGGGGAACTTACTAGGGGAACTCAGTCATCATTTCTCAGGTCCTTAGAGCAGCTTGTTGAGATGCACTATTGGAATAACGCTTGCTTGGAAGACTCTGGCCCACGGAGTGTCGCAGTGTGTGCCAACGCAGAACCCCAAGTGACTGACCCCCAGTGCCAAACAACCAGAAGCCCACACTGCTGGCTCCTGACTGCCGCTGCCTTGGCCCAGTCACCCCCTGGCCCCAGGTGGGCAGAAAGAGAGCAGTACCCTGAGACTCCAAGAGAGCTTACAGGTGTGGCTCTCCCTTGCTGTGTGGCTTTGGGTGAGTTGCTAGACCTCTCTGGTTCCAGGCTTGGGGAATTCCCGGTTAACACCACTGGGGCCCACCTTACCTTTGGGGCCGGCCCCCCGGCAGGGTTGGGGTGTGGAGCAGCAGCAGGGGGGTGGGGGGTGGTCCCCGAGGGTTGGACAGCCCAGGGCAGAGGTGAGCAGATCCAAGGGGCCAGGGTGCAGGCGGAAGGCCTGGAGCTCCTGGGCGAGGAGGCTGAAGCGCTCGGTTTGGCTGCGACACTGCTCCTCCAGCTCTCGGACCCGGACCTGCCCCACAAGCCACCATGAGCCGCCAGGCCCAGCCGACAGCCCCACCCACCCAGCACCATGCTGGGCACCCACTGTCCACCTGCACCCATGGCCTGACACTGTCTGCGCTATGGGCCAGGAGGTGGCTCAAAGGGCCAGAGCGTGTGCCCTGGACTCGGGGGCTTCCATCCCAGTGCTGTCAGGAGAGGCCCCCCGAGCCCTGCCAGGGGCCGGCCTCAAACCCCGCAGCTCCTGCTGGACAGAGGCTCTTCCTGCTTCCGGCCACTTTCTAGGCCAGAAGGGACGGGCCCGCCCCTGTTACCACCCAGGATCACCTCAGGAGTCTTTGCAGCAGCGAGGATTGTGCCCCTCCCACAGTCAGTGACCCAAATCTCTACCCTCAGAGAGGTCCCCGCAGAGATCCCCTGCAGGAGCTTGGGACATCTAGGTGATGGGAAAGGGACCGCCTTCAACCACGCTTCAGGAGAATGCCAACAGCTGGGCGAGCCCCTCCCCCATACCACCCATGGTCACGGGGCAGGCAGGGTTGGGGGAGGTTGTCCAGGTCTCCTGGGAATGGTGGGCCCTGTGTGTGCAGGTACGGAGGTGGCTCTAGGGCGGCCTGTGGGCATCTCCACCTCTCTATGGCTTCTCAGTGCTGCTACCTGCTGACTAGTCCCCCCACTTGACTTGGAATCCCTCAACGCCAAAGGAAGAACTACAGCTCAGCCCCCCTGGAGAGGTGGAGGAGGTGGAGGTGTACCTGCATGCAATCCAGGGTAGACTGAGGCAAGGAAGAAAAGCACACAGAGAGAGGTTAGAGCCCTTAGCAGGAAGGGTCACTACCCGGAGAGACGCCCACATAAATGCCACCCATTGGCTCCCTGGCCGCTGAGCAGGTCCTAAATGGAAGAGGGCATCTCGGCAGGCAGCCGGGTCGGGGCAGCTGTGGGAGGCTTTGACCCCCTGCCCCAGGAGAATGAGCCCTGGCTGGAGAAACAGGCCAGTGAAGGGGGGGGGGGGGGGCGAGGGAGTGATGCTTGCTGCAACCCCACCCCCGCCACACATCGAGCCTCCGGGGATGCCAGGCCTACCTCCAGCAGTTGCATGGCCCCTTCGTGCTCCCTCTTGGCTTCAGCCTGGGCCTGCGGGACAAGAGGCAACGTGGTAAGGGGGTGCTCAGGGGGATGGAAGAGCAAAGGAGGATGGGGCCGGGACAAGGCTCCTCTGCTCCTCCCCCACCCTCCCCCAAGCCCACTCAGAGTCCTGCCTTTGGGCAGAATGGGGTCAGGAGAGGCCGGCCTGCCACGTGCTCTGTTTTCTGGGACATCCACGCTCTGGTTTCCCGCCTACCCCTCTGGGGGCTCCTTTTCTGCATTCTATTGCTTTTGAGTATCAGGGTGCTCATCTTGTAGCCTACATGTGCTCTCTCCCAGGCGTCCCCTCCGCCAGAGTGGATCACATGTGTGACTCCTGACTCAGCCTCACCTCCCCCGAGACGCTGAGCACACACACATGCCCAGCGTGGACTCCGGTCTCCTCCTTCAGATCTGTTGTCCCTCTGTCCCTCAGCTCCCACTCTCCCTCTCTCTCTCCAGCAGGCTTTACCCAGCAGATGGGATACAGAGCGGGGACTCGGCTACAGCCCCCTCCCCCAGTCTGCTGATTCTGAACAGTCCCCACAGCATGTCCACTCCCCCTGGCTTCTGTCCCCACTGCGGCACCCTCACCCAAGCGACAGCACCTCCCACCTGCACCCAAACACCCCACCCTCATCCCCTCTCCCCCCACCCGCCCTCCATCTGCTGCCAAATGACCTTCTTGCTTGGCCTCTTCAATAGCCTCACATGCTCCGAGCAACATACCCATAGCCAAAGGCCTGACAACTCTGGCCCAGCCTCTCCTGGGTCCATCTGTCCTGCCCTCTCCTGGTCATATCGCCTGGAGCCCTGAGCTCCCGCACACACACCATATCGGGCATGCCATCCGGCACCCCCTCCCCAGAAGGCTTTCCCTGGAGTGACCCCTCTCTCCTTCCCCATCCTGCCCCGCTAGGCTCCTCAAGGCCTCGGGTTAGGGTCAGAGACCTGGCCCTGGCCACCCCCCACCCACTCCAGGCAGGGCTCCGGGAGGAGTGGGTGACTCAGCAGGGCCCCACAGCCTGCCCGCCCCCCTCCTGCCTGCCTACCTGCTGCAGCCTCCGGACCTCCTCCTGCTTCTCCTGCAGGCTCAGCCGCGCCTGCTCATGCTCCAGCTCCAGCTGCTGCCGCCGCTGGGCTACCTCCCGCATGTGCTGGAACACAGGACGCGGGGTCAGGGCCAGAGCTGCCCCCCTGCCCCCTTTCTAGGGCAGGTGGCTGAGGACGGAGCCTCAGTGGCTCTGGTTCCACATAAACACTGTCAAATAGGGCTCCGAGGCCTGTGGCGTGGCGGAGTGGTAGAGCATACTCTTCACACGTGTGAAACCCTGGGCTCCGTCCGCTAAACAGAAGGGTATGTGGCCCTGGTTCCCCCGAGGGCCACCAAGCCCCCCCACCCAGCCAGAATGACCCACACCCCCCATATGAATAAATAAATAAGCAAATAAGCAAATAAATAAATAAGAAACTGCAGACACAAGCAGGAAAGAGGCTGGTGCTTCCAGGACTGGCCCTCAGACCCCAATGGTCCAGTAAGGGCTAGTTCTGCTTCCTCCCTGAACCCCCGAATGCTGCCCCCCAAACCCCCACACCTGCTCGGCCCCCTCACCTTCAGCACCTGCTCCAGGCTCTCCAGTTTGCTCTGCAGACCCTGGCTCTTGCGAAGGGCCAAGTCCCTCTCCTGGGTCACCCCCAGGAGCTGGCCCCTCAGCTCCTCGTTCTCCCAGTGCACCTGGAGAGGCAGGGGCATGGCAGGGTGCAGGACTCCCACTCAGGACGCCCCTCCAGCCTCCCGCCTAGCTCAGGGCAGGTGCTGGAGGAGACCCACCACAGGAGTCCCCCCTCCTCTCTGAGTCCCCCCTCCCCTCTCCCCAGCCCCGGGCAGAGCTTTACCTGCTCCTTCTCCTCCACTCTCCCAGTGAGCCGAGAGTTCTCCTTGGCCAGGCGGGCATTCTCATCCTGGGCTTCTCGCAGCTGCAGCTCCTGAGAGACCACGGGAGCTGGGGAGGATGCCCGGCACCCAGTCTTCCTCTTCCCACTCAGAAGACCCCCTCGAGCTCCAGGCAAGGCCTTCCTCCCTCACCTGGAGCCTGCACCCACCAGGAAAGGAGACTCCCGCAGGACAGAAGGACAGACTTAGGCACCCCCGCCCCACGGGCCTGGGGAAGGGGGCCCTGGGGTGCTCACCAGCTCCTCACATCGCTTCTGCTTCTTTCTGGCCTCCTGCTCCAGGCTCTCGCATTTCTTCCTCTTCTTGCAGAGCTCTGACTCCTGCGGGGTGGGGATCGGGATGGGAGTGGGCTCGGGGGGCTTCTGATGGTGGAGGGGCGTGCCCAGTGTCTCCTCCAGCCCCGGGACTCACCAGTTGCTGCAGCCTCTGCTCTTTCTCTGGCTCCCCTAGGACCACAGGTGGGCTCCCCACATCCTCCTGCACGGTGGCCTGGAGAAGCCCAGGGGCAGGGGGCTGGCAGGCATGGACAGCAGCCTGTCCCCCTCCCTCTTTCCCACCAGAGCTGTCCCTGAGAGGTCCCCACCCCATCTCACAGCCAGCTGGTGGAGTGCTGCCTGCCCTTCCCTCCCCTCCTGTCGAGCTAAAGCAGAAGCACGGCAGCGGTACCCGTTTTCTCCAGCCCTGGTGCTTGAGGTCCCGAGAATCATGAGCCCTGGGAAACTGTCCCCCTATCCAGGCCAAATCTGTCCCATTTTAGCTCTGGTGGCCACGGGCTCTGCTCTCAGTCACTGTCCCGGTGCCCTCGGCCAGGAATGAAGAGGGCCCCAGGGATGTGCCATTGGGTCATGGATCTGGGTCATTCAAGGCTGGGCTTGGGCTGGAGCGGGGCAAGCTGGGCAGACCACCCACCTGGTTGTCCCACAAGCCCACCTTGTCCCCTCCCCATTCATCCTGCCCACTCTGGGGAAGCACAGGCCTGGTGGGGAGATGCCACTTCCTTCCATGCTGAGAGGCAGGGCTGAGCCCAGAGGTGTTGGCTGCCACAGCGCCCCCTCCTCTCACCCCTCTTTCCAGGGGATGGACCTAAGTGCTGGGCAGTGGAGAGAATCAGGAGAGCCAGATCTCCCGTTTCTGGGTCTTCAGGGTAGGGTCCCCAGCCCTTGGAATCTGGCGGCCTGAGTCCAGTACCCAGGGAGGGTCGCCCATACCTGGAGCGCCGCGGGGTGGGTGGACGCAGCGCCACCCGCGGGTGGCGCGGACCGGGCCTGGAGGACCAGGCGGGTGCTGAAGGGGGCGTCCCCGCGCGAAGGTGGCGGCGGGAGGCGGCGGCGCGGGCAGGGCCCCGGGGTGGCTGCCAGGGCAACCAGGGATTTGCAGCCGGGCCGTACCACTGGCGGCGCGGCAGGGGCGGCGGGGCGGGCCCGCGGGGGCGCCGGCGCAGGGCGCGCAGAGATGCCCGGGGTGGGCGCCACGCAGGAAAGGGTGCCCGCGGGTGGGCTGGGGGCGGGGGGTGGGCTCCGAGCGCGAGACCCGGGGAGATCCCCAGAGCCCCCCATCTACGCACACCCACACACCTGCCCTGGCGCGGGCGCTCACCTCTCCCGGGGCGCCGGGAGCGGGCGCCCCTGCGCGAGCGGGGGCCGCGGGACCCCGGGCCCGGGCCGGCTCCTGCAGGTTGCGCAGGGCGATCTGTCGCTGCAGCCGCAGCACCTCCCGCTGGGACTCGCGCAGCAGCCGGTCGAAGTCCCGCACGTGCAGCCACTGGGGGCCCTCCTGGGGGATGGGGGCCGGGGGAGGAATCAGGTCTCAGCACTGCTTCAGAGGGCCCCGCGTCAGACGTGTGTGTGTGTGTGTGTGTGTGTGTGTGTGTGTGTGTGTGTGCGCGCGCGCGCGTGCACAGCCTCATGCTTCTGCTGGCCCATGCATGTGCGGACAGGGATAGAGAGTGGACCATGACGGCGTGCCCCGCACCAGGCCAAGTGTCCCGGGAGCCCCGCTCTCCCTGTCTAGCCACAGACCCGCGGGCTGACCAGCTCTGAAGCCGACAGATTCCCGGGTCTGGGACTCCCTCCCGGGCTCCACCCCTTCAGCTCTGGCTCCTGCTCTGGGCTCCCACCTGGGCCGTTGCCAGGGGAACCTACTCCCCGGCAGCCTCCACCTCCCGCTACATTTACATCTCATTAGCATCCCCTCTCTCTCCCCCTCGCAGACCACCGAGCCCACAGCCGAGTGGGGGCCGAGCTGGCAGCTCTAAGCTGGGACTCCTCGCACCTTGCCGAGCAGCGTGAGCCTGGCCTGGAGCTCCCTGCACTCCCGCTGCAGGGCGGCGATCTGTTTGTCCTTGTCCAGCAGGGCACTGGCCGTTTCACTGAGGTCCCGGGCTCGCTGGCGGGCCAGCACCTTCCGACACCACTCGGCGCTGGGCCCCCCGCGGGTCACCGGGGCGCTCACCTGGCCAGAGGAGGGGGAAGGCCCGTCAGCCCTGGGACGAAGCCCTTGAGGGTGGCCTCCTGTGTCTGGAGCCTTGATTGGGGGAGGATCAGCAGCCTCGCTTGCCCTCTCATCCCCGCCAGCCTCATGCAGGAATAAAAGGGTTAACTCCACATCCTAATCTAGGTCCCCAGGATGCTGCTAATTGGGGGCTGCCTCTGTGATGGGGCTTCCTCCCTGCCCCCACGGGCTCTGCACCCAGAGATGAGCTCAGCGGGAGGCGTCAGCCAGCTCCAGCACGTGGTAAGCTTGCTCCTCTCTGCCCAGGCTTCCCTCCCCTGCCCCAGCCAGCACCCAAACCTCCTTCTCCGGGCTGGGCCAGAGCTGGCCCCCCTACCCCACCCTGGGGCCCTCCTGCCTGGATCTGACTCCCAAGTCCCCCATCCCCCTGCCCAGCCCTAGCTCCCCTCTCCCCTGCCACCCAGCCTTCCTCACCACCCTCAGGTTGGTCTCCTGCAGCTTGCGGGCCCTCTCCTCCAGGCGCTTGGCGATGACCGCCAGCTCCGCGTTCTTCCGCTTCAGCCTCCGCACCTTCTCTTCCGTCTCAGGGAAGCTGCTCTTCCTCTGGCCAGAGTTCAGCCAGAATTGAGGCAAGTGGGGTGCACCCCCCACCCCCACTGGTCCAGGCTAGAGCTCTCAGCTCCCCGTTGGGTTCTGGGCTACTCTAGCTAGGAACTTTGTGGGGGCTGGCATCATGCTGCCTCCATGTCACCCCGACTTAGAGGGACATCCCTGCGACAAGGGGGTGGAGGGAGGACATTCGATTCTGCTTCCCCGCACCCCAACCCCTCTAACTGCGAGGAGCCTCTGAACCTCACCAGCATCTGGTTTTCCTCCTTCAGGATGGCACAGCGCTGCTGCAGCTCGGCCAGAGCCCTCAGCAGCTCCAGAGGGGGCCTGTCCCCCAAGCCCACGCTCAGCTTGGCCTGGCGTGGGAGAGGACAGGGGGCAGTGCCTCAGGACCCCCTCCCCACCTGGCCAGAGCTCTCACGCATTCGTGCTCATGGTCCAAGGAGACTTGGGGGCGAGAGAAGGCTCTCCCCCAGTCCCAGGCCTTCAGAGGGGTGGCTGTTGAATGGTCCCTGCCCATACTGCATCCCCCTCAGTCTGAGGCCCCCTCCCCATCCCTGACTCTTCCTGGCACACCCTCCAGCCTCCTCATGGGCCCAAATCTCCTCCCCAGGCCACCATCATACAAGAGCTGCTCACACCTCCCCAAATCCTGCCCCCACTCATCCCAATAGTGAGCCCCCTCCCCGATTCTGTTGCCCCTGGGCAGCAATTCAACTGTATAGCACCCCCCCCATATCCTCCAGTCCTCAAGGATGGAGACTGGTGGGGGAGGAAATGGGGGAAGGAGACAGACATACAGTCTCGAGACTCACAGAGGGAGGGGAAGAGGCAGAGTCGGATGTAGATGAAGAGGCCGAGTCAGGACAGGCAAGTGGTAAAAAAAGCGGTTCCTGCCCCAAGGGAAGACAGCCCGTTACTGAGCAGGGTCCACACACAGGACCCGAGACAGGCCAGGAGAGGAGGAGCGGTGGGCAGCAGCCCGGGCTGATGGGCAGAGGAGAAGGCCCTCACCACCCCCAGCCCTCCCGAACGTCCTTACCTTTGGAGACGCCTCCACCTGCTCATGCCCTGGCAGCAGGAACGCGGGCAGCCCCGTCTCGACTCCTTCAGGGTCAATGTCCCCCCCAGACCCAGAGCTACGGGCTCCCTCGGGTTCAGAGTTCTCCTCGGGCTTCAGCGCTCCGACCTGCAGAACCGCCGGGGTGTCGGCAAGACACGGGGCCAGGCCTCCCGGCTCACCCCCCGGGCTTGGTGTCCAGCTCTGCCAGGCAGGCAGTGCCCAAGGCTCCATGGCTCCAGGGTCCCCAGGCCGTGGCAGGATCGTCAGTTGCTCCATAATACAGCTGAGGGGCCCCCACTCCTGGACCGGCGGACATCACCCAGCCAAGTGGACGGGCTGATGAGGATCATGCCAAGCTAGACCGTTTCCTCTCCGGGCTTCACCGGGGTTCCTCCATCTGGGCTGGGCCGAATTCTTCCTTTCTTCCTCACCCACAAAGAAGGTTCCAGGAGTCGGGGATGCAGCCTTGGAGCTGGAGGTCCGTGAGCTGTGGGCTCCAAGCTGTGTGTGTGTGTGTGTGTGTGTGTAAGAGCGAGGGTGTCCCCGTGGATGGAGGGGGGCTGTGCAGAGGCCACAAAAACGACGTGGTGGGGAGGGCGTGTGTGTGTGTCCAGGTCTGTCTGTGAGGTCTGTTTGCCTTGTCTCTGGAGGATGCTGCCCCCAGGCGTGTGTGCTGGGGGCAGTGGAGCTGTGTGTCACCAGCTGTGTCTGCCTCAGAGTTCCCGGTGGCTTCTGTGTGTGGGGGTGTCTGGATGGCAGGGCTGTGCAGTGTGGGATGCTGTCACTGGGTGTATCTGTCTGAGCCTTGTGCAGCTGAGCGCGTCGGTGGTGAGTCCTTCAGAGCCGGTGGGTCTGGCCATCCATCAGCCTGGCAAAGGTTGCGGGAGCTGACGAGGGTGCTTCCCAACCGTCCGCTGAGCTCCTTTATCTCCGGCTCCTCTCTCCGAGGTTGTTCACTCTCGCTGGCTGGTCCGGTGGATCTAAGGAGGCCTGGGTCGGTGGGTTGCTTGCCTCATAGTCTCTGTCCCTGCTGGCTTCAGCTCTGGGGACTGCAGGGGGTCCCCAATGGTCCTGGAGCCCAGGGATGGTGGGCGCGGAGAAGGGCTGAGCCTCAGAATAGAGGGGTGAGCAGGGAAGAGGCAGCCCTCCCCTCCCCCTCCCCTCCCCTCCCGCCCACCAATAGGAAGTCAGCTGCTAGTTTCCATGGTGACAGTGCTGGACTGGTGGGCTGGACCAGCAGGCAGGGTCGGGCGGGCCGGAGGAAAGAGCAGGTTCCTCATGGGATCCCAGCCTGCGTCCGCACAGCGAGCCTCCCACCCATTGTGCTCACGCACCCCTCACCTCCTCGGTGGTGACAGGAGCAAGGAGGCTGCAGATCATTCTCCCTCCATCAACCCCAGCTTAGGGCCCGTGGAGACAGACTAGAATGGTAAGACAGACAGCAGACAGCGATCCTGTGATGGAGAAGGGGAGGATCAGGAAACGAGATTTAAAATGAAAGAGAGAGAGAGAGAGAGAGAGAGAGAGAGAAATCAAGAGGATGAAAGCAGAAAGAGAAAGCAGACACAGGCAGAAGGAGGTGGAGAGAATTGCTTCAGTTTCCTCCTGGCAGACTGCATTTGGGGACTGCCTGAACATCTTCAGCCAGCAAGGGAGACCACATAGCCTGTTGGCTAGCTGTGCCCAGCTGGGTCAGGAAGTTCATCTTCTGTCTGGCCTTAGGTGTTTTGCTCTGGGGGAAGACTTTCAGGAACGAGAAAGTAAGAAGTCCTCTAGCCACAACGCAGCCTGTATGTGGGGCCAGCGAGTTAAGTGGAGTCCACAGAGATAGGGCGACAGCGAGAGATTTAGGGAGGTAGTCCTGTCCCCTCCTCCGAACATGGAACCAAGTCCATCTGCCCACAAGACCGGTTCTGCCAAGGTCGGGAGCCCCCGTGTGGCATTTCTGGGGAACAGCAGCAGCAGGGACTGCGTAACCTCAAGCCCCCCCTTACTGTGGGTGCCACCCAGGACAGAGCTGATGAAACTGGTGCCGGGATGTATGGGGAAGAGGTGAAACCTCATTTCCCGAACTCAGTGTACAGGTCAGTCTGTGCAGCTCTATCCAATGTGTGCTGCTGATTTTATGTCAAGGCCGCTTGAGCATACGTATGATCTGTAGTTGCATTTACAGAATAAATCATACTTCTCTGGATAAGATTATAGCAGTATACTGTCGTTTCTGTTCTTACACACATGTAAATATGTGTGTGTATGTGTGCTATTATATATTCAGGAGACATCTTGGGTGCTCATGTGTATGTATATGTCTACATGTATGTATGTGAGGCAAGGATTGTATGAGGGTAGATATGACCACTCATGTCATAATATGCATATATGACTGTCATTTAAACCGCATAAAGTGACGATTTAAGGTTATGTAAATATGTATAATAAACAATGACATGTTTTTATATCTGTTAATACCAAGATTAGAGAGCTAGTCTAGAGCACTTGCCTTGGACATGGCTGACAGAGATTTGTTCCCCAGAACCTTATATGGTCCCCCAAGCCCTTCAGGAGTTGACCCGTGAGCTCATATGCTGGGGTAAGCTCTGAGCACTCCAGGGGGGTTAGCCCCAAAACAAAAAACAAACAAAAACTCTATCACTACCTGTATCACTATGTAGTATTTCATATGTACCATCACATAGGAAGGTCACAATATGGAAAAGTGTTGGTGCCAGTGTCTTTATTCTGTGGACATCTGTGTGTACTTGAATGCCCTTCATGTGGGTCACATGTGTGTTTGTATCGTGTGGTGTGTGTATGCTACGGAATAGGTCCTGTGTTCTCTATCACTGTTCATGTATGATGGCGGCACATATAGGCCCGGGGGTTACTTTCTCTACTGGCCTCTGCCCTCTCCTACATAGGAGAGTGTGTGTGCCACAGCATGTTGGCACTACCAAAGCATCTGCTAGACTTCTCTTGAGCTAAAACTGAAAGTGGTGGAGGAGGGCGGAGGAGAGCCAGAGCTAGTGGGGACGGTGGGAGGGCCCCTGGCAACCATGAGCCTCAGTCTTCCTGCCCCTTCTCCTGCTTTGCAGGGAGATCTTCACCCCAGGCCCCGACTCTTTCTGCTAAAAGAGGCCTGGTCAGGCCTAAATCACAGGACCAAACCCACTTCCCTCAGCAGCATGAGTGTGGTTCTCCCTTCCCACCCCAGGGCACCCCCCACACCCCCGCGTGTCTGTCAGCCTCCCACTCCAGCAACAAAGTCTCAGACAAAAGAGAAACACATCCATTCTTTATTCATGTTGGGGCCCCTGACACCACTCCCCACTCCCCTCCATCTCCCCTTCTTTCCCGCCCTTCCGGTCTGGCCTCTGTCCCCCACATCGGGGCCTCTCCACAGCTGCAGCGGGTCCGGATGTCGAGCCCTCCCAAGCCTCGGCATGGCCGAGGAGTTGATGTGGCATTTCCTCGGACGATGGGCATTGGGAGCAGCGGCAGTGTCGGTGCAGTGGAGGCCTTTCAGGGGCCTGGGCAGGGTGGTGGGGGTGAGGAGAAGGGTGCCAAGGGACTCACCTGTCACACGTGACCCCCAACGGGGAGGAAGATGGCGACAGTGGAGCAACGGCCTCGGCGTGGTCTCCGAAGCCCACAGTACACTCATCCATAAAGTAGGAAACACTACACCCTCCAGTGCTGTTAGTAGTGCTTTCTACTTTATGGGTGACTGCACTGTCTGTCTGTCCGTCTGCAGGTTTTCTTCAGGCCGCCTGCTCCTCCTAACACCTGCTCAGAAAGCCCACTCCAGCCCTCCCCGTGGCCTCCTAAGGACCCTCCACCCCACTCGGACCCTCCACCCCGCTCCGATCCGCGGCCCCCCAGGGCCTGCCCTCCTGGGCCTTGTGGGCAGTGACTCAGCATGGCGCCAGACCTTTCCTCCTCTACCTCCCTCCCCCCACTTCCTCTTTGGTTCCCTCTTCCCTCCCTCCCCCCAGCGCCCCACCCCATCCCCCTCCTCGCCTTTCAGGGACTCTCAGGTGGGGACCACACTTCCTCCCGGATGCCTCACCCTAGAACCCATTTCTCTGACCCTCCAGCCCTGCTCCCCACCCTCCAGAGCCAGCCAGAGGCCCCTCTTCCTCCCCGGCCTTGGTGCCCGTCCAGGACCAGACAGTCCCCGGCTCTGTGGGCGGGCAGGCGCCCAAAGCTGGCGCCAAAATGATGCCAGGGTCCGTGCCAGGGTCCGCGAGGTAGCACAGGGGGCAGGCGCTGGCCTTGCACACGGCGGAGCTGGGTTTGATTCCTGGCACCCCATATTTCCTTTCCAAGCCCTGCCAGGAGTGACCCCCTGAGTGCAGAGCCCCAAGCAGAGCCGGGTGTGTCCCCCAAACCAAAGGAAAAGAAAAGATGGCGGCCATGTTGCATGGCGGGAGGGGGACACGCAGGCACCTCTCGCGGAAACGGGTCCCCCTTTGCAGCTTCTGCCCACCCTCTGCCATTCCCACCCCACATTCTAGCCCTTGTCCTCGAAGGCCTCGGACCCTTAGACTCTCTCTTCATCTCAGGGCCAGGAGGCGTTTTGCCTGGCTGATCTAGAGGGAAGTCAAGCCCCAGGACTGTGAGATGCTCACCCCCTAGGACGGTTGACTGGTCTGAGGGTTAGTGAGTTCTTGGCCTAGATGTTAGCTAGTAAGCGTTGGTACCCAAGCTCCCGAGGCCCCCTCCCCAAAGCGCCCCAGCCATGATTTGCCCCCCAAACCCCTCACCCCCACGAGGCGCCCCGGAGTTGAGGAGCCAGGTGGTTCAGATCCTTACCTGAGGCCGCAGGCGGAGAGGAGCAAGCCCTGTGCTCCTGGCTTCCAAGTGGGGTTCCCTTCAGCGCGGGCAGGGCTTATAACCCCGAGGCCACGTGGGCCAGCTCTCAGGGCGCCCAACGGTCTCGGAGCCCGCCCCTCCACCACAGTGGAGATTAGCGCGCCCCTCCCCTCCCTGGGGAGGACCCACGGACAGGAAACCAGAGACAAGGCTGGGTAGTGGCGGGCGGGTGGTGGGACCATCGCACACACCCTGGCAGGTGGCTTCCGGGACCCCGACCTGCCCTTCCCCCATGGTGCTGGCTCCAGAGTCTGGGGGAGATTCAGGGCCCCCCAGAACCCAGAATCCAGCATTCCAACACCAGAAAAGGACTTTCTTTAGCCCTCCCCCAACTCCCTGTGCTGTGACCCCAGGCTCAAACACTCCCTTGCTTTGGGACAGTGCTCTCAGCCCACACTCTAGCGCCTCTATTTGCTCCCCAGAGAGACCATGGAGGTTGAGCTGCTCACGGAGGTCCCTGCCAACATTACAAGACTCTTCACACAGACAACGGCCCTCAGC